TAGGGTCGCCTGTCCAACCTCGTGGGTTTTCTCCGGGTCCTCCGGTTTCCTCCCACTGCTAAAGATCCCTACGCGCAAGCGAATTATTGAAATAAAATTGAACCATATGTTAGTCCCGAAATGACCTGTTTTGTGTCGAGTGGACGTTAAACCCCATTTCTCTCTCTCTCTCTCTGGTTCAGGCTTAGGGTTAGGGTTGGCGCTAGCCCAGTTTACATCTCGAGGCTTCGACGTAATCTGCAGGTCCTAACCCTGACCCTAATAACTCACAATCCAGATATGACGTCATATGTGCTTAAATGTGCAGGACCGTCTCCGCGCACCCGAGGTAACCGGGAAGTTCACCGGATATTGTCAGCGGTGGCCGATGAAGATATTCTAAAACCTACACGAAACTAAATCGGATTAAAATGTGGATCTGTATTTCGTTTCTTTTTTTTTTCTCTATTTTTGATAGCCACTACTGCATGAAGGAGGTCGCCTCAGAGGTCATGCTGGTCAATTTTGACCCCATGACGTCAATCATTCGACTAACCAATCAGCGTCCGTGTTCCAAGTGGTTATTCGGAAATACAATTTTTGCCCTGTTTTGTCTTCTATCACTGCAAATATCTTTCCACAGTTCTGCATGCCGCACGATAAAAACTCAACACGATTGACCATTTGATTGGCTAATTCTTCACATCACCCAGAACACGGGTTATGTTAACAACTCTTCTAGATCTTGGTGTAGAGAAGACAGGCAAAACGAAATTTTAAACTATAACAAACGAAACGAAAGAGAATCTGCGTGTTTTTGGTTTAGTTTTTATTTTGTTTTTGTTTTGTTTTGGGGTTTGTTTGGGTTTTTTAAAAAGTAACATTTTTATTCATAAGACTTTATTTATGATGTTTACTTTTTTTTATTAAATGACTCCTTCACATGTAAATAATCTAAAATAAATCCGCCTGTCGATGATATCCTGTATAATGGTATTGGGCGTTAAATTTGTAATAAACAACAACAACAACAGGATCTGTGTTTCAATCAGTTTGCACGAAACTAGGATGTATATTAACAACATATTCTCACATTATTCTCTTAACACGACACCTACCTCACTGCACATTGTCAATAAGGCAAGGCATGGGTGGTTCAGCCTGCATAAATCTGTTATATAAGAAATCGTGGATATGCATATTAAGATAGACGAAGATTAAGGCCAATTGGATGCATATTGTCCTAGTGCTATGATTGGCACATCCCACAGTGACCCCTATTGACCCCTATTGTAATGTATATCAACCATTTCTATTCATATTTCACGTTCATAGATATAAGTATAATGTATACAGTTTCAAATGATCATCATCCGGCTCACCTTTCATAATAAACACGGTGTGATTAACAAAAAAAAGTAGTTCGTGACAAGAGTATCGTATACACATATCGTAAATAAGGTAAAAAAAAAACCATGCAACTGTACTCGGGGACCGCAGTTATAGGTCTCACTCGTTCTTTCACATCGGGAGGGGGGGGGGCACGGTGGGTAAGACGCTGACTCGCTAGCCTGGAGGTCACGTGTTCGATCCCTGCATTGGCCGAGAAAGTTCATCGGGATTGTCCGACGTTGTTTCCCCTGTCAGTGATACAGAACGGAGGGCCTGACAAGGACAGCTGTCTAGTCCTTCGGATGAGACGAAAAACCGAGGTCCCGTGTATACATTGGTTTGCACGTAAATGTCCCTTGGCAGTTGGAATTCGATATAAGAGTAGGCCATTATATATGGCGCCGTTGCCCAAGCAAAATTTCCTTCATAGGACACTGTATGGCGTATGCCCGTCTTCATTATACCAGTCGGAGCAGAACAGTAGGACATTAAACCCCATTTCATATCATTTTTTTCACATTGACTGAACCGGATATTGGTCTGAAAAAATTCACAAAGGGCATAACTTTTCATTTATTTCATTTTTATTCTGTAGCTGTTTGGGGATTATGGGATGCAAGCACATAGAGCACCTAACTTAATCATCCTATGTATAAATTTTAAATATATCGATACCTACATTAATTTGACTTACGTTACCATACATGAAATTGACTTACGTCACCATACATAAATTTTGACTTACATATCCATATATGAAATTGACATACGTCACCATACATGAAATTGACTTATGTCACCATACATGAAATTGATTTACATTACCATACATTAAATTGACTTACTTCTCCATACACAAAATTGACTTACTTCTCCGTACACAAAATTGCCTGGCGAAGACAGCGTCTAGTTGTTCGCATGGGACGAAACAACGTGGTCACGTATACACGTTGGCGTACGCGTTGATAAAATTCATTTCGAATTCGATATAAGAGTAGGTCATAGCGCAGCTGATCGGGCAACATTTTCCGCCTATCACACTGTATGGCGTTTGCCCGTCTTCATTAGCCCAGTTGGTGCAGATGAGTAGGACGTTAAACCCCAATTCATTTCATTCGATTTACACATCATTAATTCATAGTAAAAGATTTTATTGTCGTTTATACAGATAAATATTACATTAAAGGCTCAATACCACTCTTATTGTAACTGAATAATATGTCCCAATCTTTATTCTGGTCAACAAATTGTACTATTTTACAATATTCCAATTAAATGATGATACAAATTTCATCTTAACACACCTAATTTAAAACATTGGAAAAATTCAATTAAATGATTTGAAAAGCCTGACGTAAACCTTTTCAAATGTGACTTGGATTTAAAAATATTTTTGAACCCTCTGGACAAGTAAAATAGGATTTAATGGATAATTTACACAACAGGTAGGACACTAACACATCTAGTACTTAGAATATGGCTATTTTTTATTTTCTGGGGCTGTCACGCCAGCAAGAGTGTTATTGTCCCTTTAAGTCGTTCGTCTTCATTAGCCCTGTTGGTACAGAAAAATAGGGCGTTAAACTTTCTTTTATTTCATTCAATTGCACATCTATTAATTCATAGCAAAACATTTTATTGTCGTTTATACGAGATAAATATTACATTAAGACATTCGTATGTCCTAAGGGGGGAGTGTTATCGTTTAACTAACTATTAATTCACTACACGACTTTTATCGTCGTCTTTTACAAATTAACCATCGCTTTTCCTGTTTTTATTAAATAATATATTTTATTATTCTATCCACGTCTTTATTCGAAGATTTAATGTTGTTTTGTTCAATAAGGAACTTCCCTCGTAACTTCTCTCCGGCATATTTAATTTCAGCGAACAAATCATATCCGTAATAAACTCTCGTTACACTAGGGAATTGTCAGTAACATGAAATGGGGGTTTGACGTCTTGTTGTGTTGTGCAACCCAAATTAAAATCGAAACAGGACAAATTTTCGGGTTTTTATTGTATTCTAATCGGTGGCTACATCATGTAGCTACCAAAACAATGTTTTATTCCATATGTGAATCGGGGGGGGGGGGGATGGCCGAATGGTTAGCACGTGCGTACTGTATCATAAGACCTGTCATTGAGTCAACTGGCGTGGCTCCGAATCCCCGGTTGTACGTGACAAGGATTAGGGTCGCCTGTCCAACCTCGTGGGTTTTCTCCGGGTCCTCCGGTTTCCTCCCACTACTAAAGACCCCTACGCGCAAGCGAATTGTTGAAATAAAGTTAAACCATATGTTAGTCCCGAAATGACCTTGTTTGTGTCGAGTGGACTTTAAACTCCATTTCTCTCTCTCTCTCTCTGAGTCAACTGGCGTGGTTTCGAATCCCCGGTTGTACGTGACAAGGATTAGGGTCGCCTGTCCGAGCTCGTGGGTTTTCTCTGGCTCCTCCGGTTTCCTCCCACTGCTAAAGACCCCTACGCACAAGCGAATTATTGGAATAAAATTAAACCATATATTAGTCTCGAGTGGACGTTAAACCCCATTTCTCTTTCTCTCCATATGTGAATCACAAAGTCATTGACAACTGGTTGAAGTGTATTTGAAAAGCCTCTGCAAGCAGCGATGAATTTTGTGAATTGTATCATCGTAATCTTTTGTATTTTATTTGGATAAAAAAACTGTAATAAAAAATTAGGCGTAAATAATATATGGTTAATAAATTAAAATGAAAAATCGGTGGAAAAAAATGGAACCCAGAGTGAGAGCTGGCTACATGGGAAACAACACCACAATTTATTCCCGTGTCCCTGCACGGAACCCATTCCTTATCCACGTACACAACCCTGGGAGACACGGTGGCTAAGTGGGTAAGACGCTGGCTCGCTAGCCTGGAGGTCGGGTGTTCGATCCATGCATTGGCCGAGAAAGTTCATCTGGATTTTCCGACGTGGTTTCCCCTTGTCAGTGGTGCAGAACGGAGGGCCTGACAAGGACAGCTGTCTAGTTCTTCGGATGAGACGAAGGCGATAGTGCCGCAGCCCGGGCAAAATTTCCCTCATAGCACACTGTGCGGCGTATGCCCGTCTTCATTAGCCTATAGGAGCAGAACAGTAGGACGTTAAACCCCTTTTCATTTCATTTCATTTCATTTCGTACACAACCCAGGAGCGCGATGACTCATATTTTACATGAGGAACAAGATCCTGTCCTAGAGGGGTGGTGATGGGTCCCTCCCAGTGCCGCCGGGTAATATTGTGCTGTGTGGAACATGCTCGAGTCGATTTGTAGCATATCTCACCCACGGTATATGTTTGACACTGCTTGCGCATTACGATTATGATTATAATATTGAAAACCGCATTGAAACCGCATGATATTTTGCCATTTGCGAGCGGGCGCAAAAACTGAAAACCGTGAGACAAAGCGTGTCATTGTGCCCCTCTCACTTAGCCCCTGACACAACCCATTCTACATTAACATAGACAGTTCGTTTGAAATGATAATAATATAACATACGGTATAATATCATTCTATTTCCAGGAAGTTTAAAGCGAAAATATATAAAGCAACCCGCGTAGTTCTCTCCCTTGTATTAACTATTGGTCTTTGTTTTTTCAGCTATCAGGCTCCGTCTACGAGATGGCATGCAGCCCGGGAACGGTGATTATCGATCGGGTCGGTTAGAAGTGTCATTAGATGGTACAGAATGGGGCACAGTCTGTGATGATTTATTTAGTAAGAATGCCGCTTCAGTAGTATGTCAACATTTTGGATACGCACAAGGCGAGGTGAGTACAAAGCTGAAGGTGCGGATCCAGAGGGTGGGTGGATGGGGGAGGGGGAGAGACAAACCCCACCCTGCTCAGCTATGAGAAAAGTGTAACAGTCCAGTGCTTTATCCTTTATCGTCAGATGGTGGGATGGGATGGACATTCAATGAATGAAATAATCATATAGACATGTGTGATATCACAATTAATGCTTTGTATCAATGAAATTAAATCACAATATGATCCTATTAATTCATAATACAAATTGACGTCAAACGGGGTGTTGGATTTCTCTCTTTAGACAGCCCAGTGTGTATGTATGTCTACGTAATTAAGAGAGGATGATGCCATCATACATTGTCAACTGTCAAATTTCCTTAACAGGAGCCTGAAAATCCCCCTCCTGCAAAAATTCCTGGATGCCCTGTATCTCGGTATGAATTGATAGCTACAAGACGTAGGGTCCTCCGGTTTCCGCCCACTACTAAAATTCACCCCATTGAAATAACCTAGTTGGTGCCGAGTAAACATTAAATCCCATCTCACATATTTAGACTTACATTGACGTAAATCAAACAATTTAGAATAAGTAGGCCTACACAATTTTGTTGAACTTACATGTGCGTAACTTAAGGTATGTACGTGAAACTGTCGCCAAGGTACATGTAGCAGTAACATTTTTGGTTTGGCAGTGTTCACGCATGTATTTGTATGTTTAATTCTAGGTTGTGGCCAAATCCTATTTTGGAACAGTAACAGGTAACAACAACATATTCCTTGATAATGTGGAGTGTAATGGCAGTGAGGCGAGGATTGACGATTGTAAGAAAAATGTCTGGAAACAGAATGACTGTGATCACACAGAAGATGTCGGTGTTTTCTGCTTTAATGATTTATCTAAAGGTAAGCATCATTTTAGTAACACAGTAACACAGGACATATGCTAAGGGGTTGCCATGGAGATAATATACAAATGGATTGCCATGGATACCATATACAAATGGGTTGCCATGGATACCATATACAAATGGGTTGCCATGGCGACCTAATACAAATGGTTTGCCATGTAGACCTAATACAAATGGGTTGCCATGGAGATCATATACAAACGGTTTGCCATGGAGACCATATACAAATGGGTTGCCATGGAGACCATATACATATATTAAAGGGTGGTCATTAACAGTAATATTATATTTCAGTATTTCAGATGCAGCTTGTTAACCGTAAAACAAATAATGGTGGAATATCTGGACGATTGGAAGTGAAGATGGGTAATATGTCGTGGGGGAGTGTCTGTGATGATCTTTTTAACGATAATACAGCAGCCGTTGCCTGTAAATATTTCAACTATAAATACGGCCAGGTAAGCTAATCGGCAATATCACTTCGATGGAAGCGGACGTTACATAAATAGTTTTATTGCAGTATTTAAAAAGATTAGTCAAACCGTTTTTGAAAAATGTTCAAATATGCATAATTTTGTCAATTTTTTTATGAAATCATTTCAGTTTTGGATATGACGTGTAGAACATTCATATCTATAACATATCTTTCCTTTCCTGTCACATTTTGCTATTAACAAAATAACGTTTTTGTCGGCCATTATCGGTTCGTGTCTGTGATTAGTAGGATGCTTGAAACGGATAAACGTGCCGTTGAACCACATTTCATTCCATGGCTGTAATCCCACAGGGGGTTGGATGGTCGAATGCTTAGCACATACGCGTTGTATCATAAGGTCTGTCATTGAGTCAACTGACGTGGCTTCGATACCCTAGTTGTACGTGACAAGGAATTGGATCGCCTGTCCCACTGTGGGTTTCCTCCCATTGATAAAGACCCCTACGCGCAAGCGAGTTATTGAAATAAAATTAAACCATATGTTATTACCGAAATGACCTAGTTTGCGTCGAGTGGATGTTCCCCCCCCCCCCTCTGTCTCTCTCTCGGTTTTAATCCATTTAAGATTCCTTAGTTATGGAGTAATATGCCCTTTACTGCGTATTAATTTTAATGTTGTATGTTGTGAATGCAGATGTATTTTATTTTTTTTTCTAGTTCTGTCTAACCATATGTTAGTACCGAAATGACCTAGTTTTAAATCCATTTAAGATTCCATAGTAATGGAGTAATATGCCCTTTAATGCGTATTAATTTTAATGTTGTATGTTGTGAATGCGGATGTATTTATTTTTTTCTATTTCTATCTAACCATATGTTAGTATCGAAATGACCTAGTTTGCGTCGAATGGACATCTCTGTCTTTCTCTCTCTGTGTAATCCCACCTTTGTATTTTAGCGGATAACACAACAGTATGATGATGGTGTAAGAACGTATCTAGATGAAGTATTATGTACAGGAACAGAAGATAATATATTACAATGTAAACATAATAGTTGGCGAGAACATGATTGTGGAAATGAAGAAGATGTGGGAGTAGCCTGTTTTAATTCAACCAGTAAGTAATCCTCTATATCAGTGATTCTCAACCAGTGTGCCACTGCACACTGGTGTGCCGCAAGATCTTCCTAAGTGTGCTGCGAAATTTTGAACGGCACACTAAGAAAATTTCCCACTAAAGAATCCAGCAAATTCAAAACACTGCAATTAAATTAGTTCATAGGTGTGTTTATTTATTTATTTTTTTAGTTTGAGTAATTCTTGTGTCTATGACTCGTCTGACTTACCATGTTTTTATTTCGCAAAATTCAATTATTTTTCATATAGATTTAGCCAGGTGTGCCGCTATTTTTTCATATGTTCCAAGGTGAGCCGTTGGCAAAAGAAGGTTGAGAACCACTGCATCTATATTGACATTGTGTGTAGGATAAAGACCTTGACTTCGGTTATGCTGGGGAAAGAAAGACTGAAGGGTATTTTCTGAAGTCTTTCTTCCCCAGCATAACCGAAGTACTGCAATGTCTACTGGGCCCAATTAAAGGAGTAACCCCCGATTTCACAGGGTGCACATTGATGAAAGTTGACGTGTATAAACCAATCAGGTTGTATTTGCTAGATATGGCGGTTTGTAAATATATATTTTAACTCCACACAAAAACTGGACGTGTTAGGTTTATAAATTAATTAGAATGTTGCCACTTTCATCTCTAATGTAAATATTTTGTTTTCTAGCCAGATTAAGAACTAAAGGTGATACAGTTGATAACGCTGGAGCGGTGGAACTATGGAAACAGAATAGAGGATGGGTGTTAATTTGTGATGGTGACTGGGACGATCAAGATGCTGCCGTGGCATGTCGTGAATTAGGTTATGTAGATGGCAAAGCGGCGACTGGTTCAGCTTTATTAAGTGAGACGATATTCTTTACGCTTTCTTCGAGCTATCATAACGTCAACTGTACAGGTGATGAAGTCAGTTTAGAAGATTGTAATATGGACTATTATGGTAGTAGATGTCCTTTAAACGGTCGAGCCTCGGCTGTTTGTTATAATACAACGAAAGACAAGGTTGATATGTGTAAGTATTTAATAATACTGTATTTGATCTCATTAATACTGTACCCGATCTTTAATACTGTATCCGATCTTTAATACTGTTCCCGATCTTTAATACTGTATCCGATCTTTAATACTGTACCCGATCTTTAATACTGTATTCGATCTTTAAAACAGTATTGGATCTCTTAAATACTGTATTGGATTTAATACTGTATTGGATCTCTTTAATATTGTATTGGATAATTTCTTTTAATACTGTAATGGAGTTCTTTAATACTGTATTGGGTCTTTAATATTGTATTGGAGCTCTGTAATACTGTATTAGATCTCTTTAATACTGTATTGGAGCTCTTTAATACTGTATCCGATCTTTAATACTGTATTGGGTCTTTAATACTGTATTGGAGCTCGTTAATATTGTATCCGATCTTTAATACTGTATTGGATCTCTTTAATATTGTATTTAATATTGGATAATCTCTATAATGTTGTATTGTAGGATCTATTTAATACTGTATTAGATCATCTCTTGAATGATGTATTGGATCGACTTAATACTGTATTGGATTGACTTAATACTGTATTGGCCATAATATTTAGTACAGTGTTTAAGTGTTTGGCTGGGCGCCATTGTTCGGGCACAGTGTCTCACACCCTGTGACGTTTGTCCATGATCAGTACCCCGGCAAGAGTAGCAAAATTAGGCTGGTAAATCCCCTTTCATTTCATTTATGTCTAAATCTTTTGTTATTTCAGCATTCGATACAAGACTTGTTGATGGTGCCGACTACTGGGGACGAGTCGAAGTCCGTCACCTAGGGCTGTGGAGTCAGGTCTGCATAAAGGGAACATCCCTAGAATGGTCCGAAAATGAAGCCACGGTAGTGTGTAGAATGCACGGCTTTAAGGCTGGAAAAGCGTTTGGTGAAATTGCATCAATGGATCAACCTTCTTGGTTATCCAGCGTGAAGTGTATTGGAAATGAAAGTAGTTTGTTAGATTGTGAATTAGGACAATGGGGACATACCGTATCAATCTGTACCACTGCGCATGTCTTATGTTACAATACTGGTAAGTATATGAATATAAATGAGAGAGAGAGAGAGAGAGAGAGAGAGAGAGAGAGAGAGAGAGAGGTGGTTTAATGTCCACTCAGCACAGAAACTGGGGGTTTTCGGGATTAACATATGGTTCAGTTTGATCGGATTGGACGAAAAACCAAGGTCCCGTGTACACATTGGCATGTACATAAACGAAAACCCTTGGAAGCTGGAATTCGATATAAGAGTAGGCCATAGTGCTCTCCGGACAAAATTTCATTCATAGCACACTGTATGGCTACACCCGTCTTCGTTAGCCCAGTCGAAGCAGAACAGTAGGACGTTAAACCCCATTTCTTTATTTCATTTTTCTATCCCAACCCTGGACATTATCTACCGTTGATAGGTGATTTTGTTGTCTTCATTGAATCATTTGAAGTCCATTTTAAAGTGGATTAGGTCCTGGCTTTTGAAATTGTCCGAAGAATGCTAATAACACTCAACAACTGTATAATCCCTTGCAGGAGCCACGGTGGGTCAGTGAGTAAAACGTTGACTCGCCAACCTGGAAATCAGTAGGACGTTAAACCCTACTTTATTTCATTATTATTTTTTTTTTGTCTTTGTAGATATAACCGTAAGTCTATCAGATCCCAGTAGTGCTTTTGGTCGAGTTATCGTTAATTACGACGGACAACAAGGCTCCATATGTAAAGCCGGTCTGACTCATAAAGAGGCTCATATTATTTGTAAAGATCTAGGCTATACAGATGGCCGCTTGTGGGAACTTCCCCCTGGTGAAGATAGAGGCAATGGTTCAGTGTTTCTCAGCTCTCTCAAGTGTAGTTCCTATGCAGAATCTTTATTTGAATGCGATAGCAAAGGATGGAATGTCACTACCTCAGATTGCGCAAACCATTACCAAGATGTCGGCGTTAACTGTTTCCAAGATGGTAAGAATTAGCCTGTTTTTCCCCCCACATTAAATTGATACAACTTTAACGGCTTTAACCCTCAGTTGACAGTCACTCTATCATCCATTTTAATAAGCCGGTCCTAGGATATTCTTTGAATGGCATTTAGTAATTGGTGCAGTGGGTAAACCACTTATATCATCAACGCTGATTTTTTAATCAAATGTCTGGCGTAAATAGGGTCGAAAGCCGCTCGTATGACCCTGACACGACGTCTCTCTACAACCGACCAGATCTTCATGTAGTGGCGGCCATCGGAAAACGAAAAACGAAACGAAATATAGATCCGTATTTTAATCACATTGACTTATATGTTGTTAGTGGTGTTGAGCAGAGGGCCTAGAAGGAAACAGTGTCTAGACCTTCGGATAGGACAGAAAGCTGGGGTCGTGTCAACAGGTAAAAGAACCCTTGACAGTTGGAATTCGAAATAATATGGTCGATGTTCGGGTAAAATTTCCATCATAGCACACTGCATGGCGTATGCCCAGCTTCATACGTTAAACCCTGTTTCATTTGATTTCAGTGCGTCTGTTCCCTGGTGATGAGAAAGTAGGAGCTGTAGAGATTTATGGGGACGACTGGGAATCTCTGTGTGGTTCTTCAACATTTGGCGATACCGAAGCTTACGTGGTGTGTAAAGAACTAGGATTTAAATATGGTCAGGCTTTGCCCATGAAATCGTTTGGTCGGGTTCCCGGTCCACACCGTCGTTCAGGCATAACCTGCCTGGGTAACGAGACGTCCATATTGGACTGTGATTATGATAAGACTACGGCCTCTTGCTTACCATCGTCAGTGTCGTATGCTAGTGTCTCCTGTTATAACCAACCACTTCCTGCAGGTAAGTTTTTCATTTGTGCAAAATTGATTTAAGAGGTTCTGTTGGTTCGAATTTTAGTAAAGATATCAAAAAGAATTGGGCTTTATTTACGTAAATATCACCTAAAATATTTTGAGAATTAAGCCCTTTCTTGGGCTGAAAGTTAAAGTGTTAGTTCGAATTTAGCTTTAGGCCAACGAATAGACTGCATTCCCTCAAAAGTATTTTAGTTAAGTTTCGGTGAATAAACTCAATGGACCAGGAACAGAGAATGACGTCATCGCAGCCATCTTGAAATTGTGAAGTCATATCAAAGAGTCAATGTCAGTGGTACTTACATTTAGTGAGTCGTTTGTTTTATCGAAGAGCGTCACAGCCAAGAACAAGAAAGACAGTGTTTGGAAACCAGTTCCTGGTCCAAAAATGCTTATACAAGATATTTGAATAGAGTTGTTGCAATTTTCAGGTAGTCCTAAATACCGCTTGTTTGAATCGTCGGCGGAAGCGTCGTTTGGAATTGTGGGGATTAACGACTATAATACCATTGGTTATGCCTGTGATGAGTTTTGGGATGATGATGAAGCCAAGGTTCTGTGTAAAGAACTGGGACATATGGGCGGTGTAGCATTTAAATACTCAACCAGTTACAATGGTCCATTCTTCATCAATGAAATCAACTGCACCGGTGAAGAAACATCATTGGCTGACTGTCCTAAAGGGGGAGAACTCTGTGAGCAAGTGGCTAGTGGTGGAGTTTTGTGTTACAGGCAGAGAGGTAAGCCTAATGTTTTAAACCATATTACAAATATATGTAAATATATTAATATAGTCATGTCAAAATGTTTAAAGAACTTACCTAGGGTAAAGCAATATATATATATACGTGTGTGCGGGGGGGGGGGGGGATCCCAATGCCACAAGCTAATATTGGGCTGTGTGGTACATGCTAGAGACGATTTGTAGTTTATCTGACCCAGGGTTTATGTTTGACACTGGTTGAGCATTATGATTATAATTATAATGTTGAAAACCGCATTGAAACTGCATATTTTTTGCCATTTATAAGGGGCGCAAGACTTAAGGGGGCACAAAAACTTAAAACCATGACGCAAAGCTCGTCATTATGTCCCTCTCACTTAGCCATTGGTCACATAGTCAAATTATTAAAGGCGTTGGCCCAGGTATTTATCACAATGTTTAAAGACACCGCTTCAGGTATGTCTAAATTTTATATACACCCCTGTGTTTTCATATTGAATAACAATTAGGTGAAAATATATACCCATTGTTACAGTGTTTTCATTTTATATTTGTTAATATTTACAGCCCCAGAATTACTGCTAAGACAGGATTCTGTGTCGGAGATGCACCGAGGTCGATTAGAGGTTACTATTGATAATGAAGCTGGTACAATCTGTGGTGATAAAAAGTGGGATAATGAAAATGCTGCTGTAGCCTGTAGACAATTACCTGGGGGTTATCGTGATGGTGTAGCACTCACGTATGTTCACATCATTCTATTGTTTAATAATAATAATAGTTCGATCTTATATTGCGCATAATTTTGGCGTGTTGGATGGCCGAATGGTTAGCGTGTGCGCACTGTATCATAGTGTCTGTCATTGAGTCAACTGGCGTGGTTTTGATTCCCTGGTCGTACGTGACAAGGGGTAGGGTCGCCTCTCCGGGTCCTCCGGTTTCCCCCCACTGCAAAAGACCCCTACGTGCAAGTGAATTATTGAAAAAAAATAAACCATATTATGTTAGTACCGAAATACTCTTCTCTCTCTCTCTCTCTCTCTCTCTCTCTCTCTCTCTCTCTCATATCGAATTCCAACTGCCAAGGGATCTTTTACGTGCATGCCAATGTATACACGGGACCTCAGTTTTTCGTCCCATTCGAACGACTAGATACGCTAGCTGTCCTTTACATATGGAATTCGATATAAGAGAGGCCGTAGCGCCAGTGTCCAGACAAACAATTCCCCTATTGCACACTGCATGGCGCATGCCCGTGGTCATGAGCCCAGTCAGAACATAAAAGTAGGACGTTGAACCCCATTTCATTTCATTTTGGTTTCTGGTTCGGATTAAGTATTTTTATACGCCCACATTTTCATGTGGACGTATATTGTCGTCAACCTTTTCTGGACGTCCGTCCGTCTACAATTTGTTTGTGGACACTCTACAGGTCACAATTCTTATCCGATTTTGACGAAACTTGAAATATAGGTTTATCTCCAAAAGATCTCGGTTCCTTTCGATATTGGCATGTATTGGATCGAAACTTCATGGATAATGGCCCCTGTTTGTACGAAAAATCACGTTTTTAGCTTGTGGACACTATAGAGGTCACAATTTTTATCCGATTTTGTTGAAACTTGAAATGTAACTTTATAAGCCAAAGATCTTGGTTCCTTTCGAAATTCGCTTTCGGAACGTAACTTTCTGAATTATGGCCCCTGATTGTACGAAAAATCGCATTTTTAGCTTGTGGACCCTATAGAGGTCATAATGTTTATCCGATTTAAAAAAACGTATTATTATATCACCGTTACACCCTAAGGATGGCTAAGTTCGAATTTCGTGTAAATCGGCCCAAAATTGACAGACAAAATGGCCGCCGTTCGTTCTCAAATAGCGTAAAAATATGGTATATCAAGGTTGTGGACCCTATAGAGGTCACAATTTTTATCCGATTTTGTTGAAACTTGAAATGTAAGTTTATAACACAAAGATCTCGGTTCCTTTCGATATTTGCGCATATCGAATTGTAATTTCCTGAATTATGGCCCTTGATTGCCAGAAAAATCACTTTCTTTTTAGCTTGTTCTCTATCCATCTCTCGAAAATGTGGGCGTATCCTGCCTGTCAGCCGCTGTTTTTTTCTCTTTTCAGGTACCCCAGAAAACAAAATAGCGCGACTTCGAACTACCTGTCAGGACTACGATGTTTTGGTAATGAGGACTCACTGTTCAAATGTCCCAATCCCGGATGGAAAAATGTTCTTGAAAGTTCTTGTCAAGACGATACGGCACATGTTGCTGGGGCCTTCTGTTTTAAAAATAGTAAGTTGTAACCAAACTCGTGCAGGTTTTACACGTAGATGTACACTTTAAAGCAATTTGATTGGTCAAAACGTGTGAAGTTGTCCATATTTGGCAATTGCGGCTACAATGAGCAATACTATATACCGGGAAACACCGGAAAACAACCGGAAAACACCAGGTTATACTGAATACCGGAAAAACACTAAATACCGGAAAACACACTAAATACCGGAAACCACCCTAAATAGGTAACCCGGAGAAGGGCTATATTATAAACCGGAAACTAACCATAGCCCTAACCCTAACCCAGGCACACAGAGGACCAGGCTCCCGGTTACCTATTTAGGGTACCAGTCTCCGGGTTACCTATTTAGGGTATTTTCCGGTATTTAGTGTGTTTTCCGGTATTTAGTGTTTTTCCGGTGTTTTCCGGTATTCAGTATAAAATACTGTTTTCCGGTTGTTTTCTGGTGTTTTCCGGTATATAGTATTGCCGGCTACAATATTACGGTTGTTTGAAGGTAACACCATTATGAAAGATCATGTGATAGCCTAGGCATGTGCATGGATCATAAAATGAAGAGCTTGCCGTCACTTCTTATTTGAGGAGGCAGTGGTCGCGCACCAGGGCATTGACCCCCTCGATTAAAATGTCCAGGGTTCGAAAAACATGTCGCGGTATTACAGATACGTAATTATTTTAAATTTTTCTCTCATTTACATTAATGTTTGCGTTTAAAACTTATGTCCCGAGAGAACAAATGACTTAAGTATTTTTATCTTGGTATTTTGGTGTCTTTACAGCTCAACTACGTGGCGGTGTCGTGAACACGTCGTCTGCTGTTGGTAAATTAATGATGTATAATGTGGACCGGTGGTTGTGGGTGTGTGACGATGGGGTGGATCAGGTCACTGCATCGGTGGCTTGTAAAGAGATCGGATTTACCGGAGCAGCTATACTGAAGGGTGACGATAATATATATCGACCGACCTATATCAAAAACTTAAAATGTAATGGTTCCGAAAGTCAACTATCAGATTGCGTCCATTCCATTGGTTCGTGTGGCTTCGATGAAGGTGTTCTTCGACTCCTGTGTTATTCACTAGGCGAACAGATGGGTATGTAAAAACTAATCTTAATAATAATCCACACGCATGCTCAAAGCGTCATAAGAGAGAGGGAGAAATGAGATTTAAAGTCCATTCGAAACAAACTAGGTCATTTCTGGACTAACATATGGTTTAATTTTATTTCAATAATTCGCTTGCGAGTAGGGGTCTTTAGCAGTAGGAGGAAACCAGAGGACCTGGAGAAAACCCACGAGGTTGGACAGGCAACCCTACTCCTTGTCATGTACAACCGGGGAATCGAAACCACATCGGTTGACTCAATGACAGACCTTATGATACAGCGCGCACGTGTTAACCATTCAGCCATCCACCCCAACCCCTCCCCTCCCCTCCCCTCCTCAAAGCGCGTTAAGAAAATGATAAGTTCAATTACTGTAGGGTGCCGATAAATTTGTCAATGTTTTATAAAATCTTTTAAATATTGGATATGATATGTAGAATGTGTCTTGACTTGATTTGAAGTTGGGTTTAACGATCGCTTTGACCCGGGTCACATATCGCAGACATGTGTTGCCTGGGAAACTTGCTACAGAGCCAGTGATTAAATGAGAGATTCGTCTAGCGTGGGTTATAGATAGATAAGCGATTATGTAATTTTAACACTTCCATTTCCTTAAGCAAGCGCTAAATCTGCTTGTTTTAGGTCTTTCTTTATACCTTAAATGTTATCTAAATTATTAATTAGACATTTATTAACTTATCAAGACCATAATCAACTATCGGTGCCATGCCATCGTATAGTCTAGATTTTTAACAGATTTAAATCCGATCTGCGGTTAATGGCGGTTGATGATTAACCGTGACAATGGAAAATCGAAACTTTTTTTATTATCGTAACAACGGTAGTAGTAACGATCGAGGCTAGCCTAAAATTGAATCGCTAATATCTAGTTCCAGAGTGAAGCAATTAGACTGAATTTTCAGCATATTCTCTTTTTTATTATCTATTTTATAGGGAGAACTGTCATCTCTTTATCTAATCTTACATAGTGGCGCTTTAAATAAAGGTCATGCCTGTAGAGTTACAGTGTCCATGACTAAAGTATGCAAATTTATAATCTGTCTGTCCTTGTGGGTCTGTTTTGGGTGATATTGACAAACACGTGCCCTTGTCGGGATTTGTACGACCGTAAATAATTGAGTTCTAACTGTTGTTTGAAGTTAATCAGTCTCGCATCCCTAGGGGTAAACCATTTCACAATTGGGGGGTTGGGTTGCCGAACGGTTAGCCTGTGCGCGTTGTATCATAAGGTCATTGAGTCAACTGGCGTGCTTTCGATTCCCTACGGTTGTACGTGACAAGGAGTAGGGTCACCTGTCCAGCCTCGTGGGTTTTCTCCGGGTCCTTCGGTTTTCCTCCCACTGCTAAAGACCCTTACGCACAAACAAATTATTGAAATAAAATTGAACCATATGTTAGTCCCAAAATGGCCTAGTTTGTGTCGAGTAGACGTTAAAACCCATTCCACAATTGACAAACAACTGAAATTTATGTTATCAGACTGTTTTAATTTCGACTGTGGAGCAACATTATGCATCGGGGGTAGTTAAAATTTATCTTAAAGTTCATGAGAGGTCAATTTTTGTGGGGGAAAGGTCATCTCTGAAGTTTCTGCTATCGGCACTAGATAGTCAGAATGTCGTGTTCTTGTTAGAAAATCGAGAGTATCTTTTAAATGACATAGTACATAATCCCAAAATATATTTATTTAATTATTCTAGATACCAAATATCATATCGAGAATGGCGACAATGGACGCGTCTATGTTGAAAGACAAGGTAGAAACGGAACCATCTGTGAAGTTGGTTGGAGTGACACAGATGCCAATGTTCTTTGTAAAACAAAAGGATACGCCGGTGGAGTGGCGTACGGGGCTAAATCGTCTAGTAATGCCAATGAGTTGGTCTGGTTCAAGGATATTAACTGTACCGGAAGAGAGACAGATATAGGCTCATGTAAAGTGAATCTGACTGTGACGACAGAGTGTCGTCGATCAAAATTTCCAGCCAGTGTTCTATGTTACAGCTCCACAGGTAAATACAATCCATTTTATTTTACATATATTCTTTATTTTTTTTATCGTCCTTTAAACATACATTATGCAATATCTGAATCTGCCCATTGCATGTCTTTCTTTAGGCCTGAAATTTTATATCAATTATTAATTAGTCATTTAACAGTTAGGTCTCATCATTGTTCCAGTTACGTCTCATCTTTGCTCCTTTACGATCTCGTTTTTGTTCCATTACGATCCCGTTTTTGTTCCATTACGATCCCGTTTTTGTTCCATTTACGTCTCACCTTCGTTCCATTAAGGTCTCATCTTTGCCCCATTTACCTCTCATCTTTGTTCCTTTAAGATCTTATCTTTGTTCCTTTAAGATCTTGTCTTTGTTCCATTAAGCTCTCAGCTTTGTACCATTTACATCCCAACTTTGTTCTATTTACGTCTCATCTTTGATCCATTTATGTCTCACCTTTGTTCCTTGAAGATCTAGTCTTTGTTCCACTATTGTCTCAGCTCTCGGCTTTGTACAATTTACGTCCCAACTTTTGTTCTATTTACGTCTCATCTTTATTCCATTTATCTTTAATTTTGTTTAAATATGTTTCCGTTTTGTATATGTAGGTGTTGATGTGAGACTGGCTAATGGTGGTGAAAACTATGGTCGTGTTGAGATCCAATACGATGGTGTTTGGGGAACTATCTGTGATTATGCCTGGTCGAGATATGATGCTAGAGCATTATGTAAACAGCTAGGCTATGTAGAAGGTCTGGCCTACGCCCGATCTCGCTATGGTAATGGTGCTGGTCCAGTATATATGGATGAGATGCGATGTCGTGTGGATGACGTGTCAATATTCACCTGCCCTAACCGTGGCTGGAACAACAGTGCTAGATATTGTCTAGATCATGACAATGATGTGGGTGTCTATTGTTATCCCAGAGGTAAATATAAATATAGAGAGTTTATATCCCAGGGGGGAGAGAGAGAGAGAGAGAAAGAAAGAAAAAGAGAGGAAGTGAGAGGGGGTGGGGGTTGAAAGATACCTTCTACTTTTATGTTAAGTATTGAATTACAGAGTTAAATCCACGGTCCGCGGTCAGTACGAACAATTTGAACAAACAACAATGGGGCCCCCGCACAGTTGGTATGTCCCGGGCCCTCCACAAGGTTAATCCTGCACTGCACTGTACCAAACCTTTGGAATTCATTATCCTAGACCAGTGGATCTCAACTTTTTTTTGCCAACAGCACACCTTGGAACACATGCACATGAAAAAATAGCGGCACACATGGCTATTTATATGTATAAAAAATATTTGAATTTTGTAAATTAAAAACTTGGCAAGTCATAGACGGCATATAACCGGAGACACAGACTAGTCATAGTCACATAGAATGACTCAAACTAAATAAAGAAAAACACAGCTATGAACTTACCAGTAAACACCAGTGAATACTCAATTGGGATCACCTGGTTTTTCACATTTCCTTAGTGTGCCGTTCAAAATTTTGCAGCATACTCATGAAGATCTCGCGGCACATTGGTTGAGCAGTCTGAACACCTGAGACACGCTACCTGCGAAGAAGTATCTCAGACACAGTCAGTAGCCATGATATCCATATCATGTGATCTACACATCATTACATTGACGTCAATGGGTCATGAGGTCAACAACACGTTACATTGTAAACAATAGGTTTATCTTCAGCATTGTGTCCTTTGCACCCATAAAGACTATATGATTCGTACAATCCCAACATGTTCGCTCTTCTTCCAATGATTTTTCACAAAAATAACATCTACAACTCGTAGAATTGACGTTGTCTTCAATGACAGCGTCTGCGAATGGTTGTTCATAGAGGCTGCCATCTTGGCACTATTTTGTGCGTCGGTCGTGTCTATTTCAGATATACACAATCAATTCTGTTGATGTTTTTAGCATTGGGATTGACTAATAGTTAATTTATTTCAGTTCTAAAACAATATTTTAAACTTTAACGCAAATTTAGAAAATAGCCAAATTCTGGCTGGGATTACTGAGCAAAATAGACATTCGTGCGAAAAAAAAGCTAGCCACCAATTAATCTTCGTACGTTAGTTACGTACGACTGGTTGAGATCACTGTCCTAGAACATAAAGAATTCATAATTTCTTGGCTGTTTTGAATAACGGTTAAAGACTAATCATTGCCTAGTGCTAATTGGAGATCTAAAGGCACCTTGAGCATTAATATTGATGACATTGTGCGCAATATAAGAACTCGCTTTTATTATAATATTATTATTTTTATTTTTCAGTTCGACTTCCAAATAATGCTACGTTCGGTCCAGTTGAATATTGGACTGGATATTCCTACTCGAAAGTTTGTAGCGAGGGTTTCACTGATACCAACGCCAAGGTGATGTGTCGAGAACTAGGTTTTCTTACAGGCAAGGCGTTGTGTTGTTCGGCTTTTGGTGATATACAAGTGTTCATCGGAGTGTCTAATATCTCGTGTACTGGATCAGAAGCTAAATTAGAAGATTGCAGTATGAAAGAATTCGCACCAGTTTGTAACTCTAACAAATATGCATCGGTGATTTGTTCCAATACCATGGACACAGACAGTAAGGCTTTTACTCTATTCCATTTATTTCCTCAGTGGCAGTGGCTGACAAACTCGGGTTCGACCTCAGTGGGACTGGCTGACAACCCAGGACGGCTCGGGTTCGACCTCAGTGGCACTGGCTGACAAACTAGGACGTCTTGGGTTCGACCTCAGTGCCTCTGGCTGACAAACTAGGACGTCTCGGATTCGACTTCAGTGGCACTGGCTGACAAACCAGGACGGGTCAGGTTCGACCTCAGTGGCACTGGCTGACAACCCAGGACGGCTCGGGTTCGACCTCAGTGGCACTGTCTGACAACCCAGGACAGCTCGGGTTCGTCTTTACTGGCTGACAAACCAGGACGTCTCGGGTTCGAACTCAGTGTTGTCCGAGAAGATTTACTAACCGGTCTCCCAATTGACAGTTATTCAGGACAGCGGAGCTCGCAAAACATAATGTCTGGTCATTCAAATAGTAAAAAAAATCCTTTTGATGGGCCTCTTTTCATTCGATTGCATTGGTGTGCACGTAAAAGATCCCTTGGCAGTTGGACTTTGATATAGGAGTTGGACGTAGAGCTGCAGTTCTGGCAAAATTTCCCTCATAGCACACTGTATGGCGTATGCCAGTCTTCATTAGCCCAATCGAGAACAGGAGGACGTAAAACCCATTTCATTTCATTTTTCTATCTGATTTCCCCCAACCCTGGAGATTATCTACCGTTGATTTAATTTTAAGGTGGATTAGGTCATGAACCTTTTAATATTGCCCGGAAAATGCAAATAACGATCAGCGACTGTAATCCCTTTATGGAGCCGCCGTGGTTCAGTGAGTAAAACATTGGCTTGTTAACCCGGAAATTCCATGTTGGATCCCGGTGTTATTCGAGAACATCGGGATTAACCGTGTTGCCCTTTGTTAGTTCTGCACGACGAGACCCTGTGCACAGAACAGAACCCTTGACAGTTAAAATTTGGTAAAAGAGTAGGCCGAAGTGCCGCTATCCGGACAAAATTTCCTCTTAGCACACTTTATGTCGTATACCCGCCTCCATTAGTCCAGTCCGTGTAGAATGTTAACCCCATTTCATTTTATTTGACCTTGAATTGGTGTTTATATTGCAGCTTATTCTGTGTCGGTGTCTGATAAATATCATGGCCGTGTGATCGTTAAACATATGTTACAAGATGGTTTTATATGTGCTGATGATTTCACACAACATGATGCTGACGTCGTTTGTAAGGAAGCCGGTTATTACGGGGGATTTGGCTATCGGTAAGTTAATGGATAATGTATGCTCCTATTTGGTTACTAACGCTGGTGCCTTTGCAATTGGCGTCAATTCGTTAACATGAATAAAGGCATCACGTGACAAGAGGCGTGTGTCATGTGACTTTATAAATATTCAAAATGGAAGCAAACAAAGACACACACTTTTCAAAATTAATGTTGATGATGTCGACAATGATGTATTAAAAGAATTGTGACAAAACTGACCATGCCTTTGGGATTCTTCTTCTAAGGTATTCGTCATTTTAGTGATCACATGATGAATAAATTAACAGTCACGTGTGAAGTGTAATCGCTATCAGTTCCGAGTTGACATGAGTGCCTGTTGGCAGAGAAAGTTCCCCGTGAATTTCCACTGGGGTTCACCTTGTCAATTGTTTTGACGGGACGTGTACAAGCTGGCGTACACGTAAAAGAACCCTAAATGACAGTTGGAATTTTACGAAGGGTGGGCGAAACGGCATAAAGCTGTCTTCGTTAGCCCGATTGGTGCAAAAACGTAGCACATTAAACCTCATTTTATTTCATTTTAATTCATTTCAAGTCATCATCATCATCAGTCTGATTAACATACAGATCTATATTTCATTTCATATTTTTCTACTTTCGATGGCCTACACTACATGAAGATTTCACTGGTTGTACTGTGAGGTCACGTCAGGAGTCTTACAATCGACTTTTTTCCCTATCACGCCAGACATTGATTATTCAATCAGTGTTGACATTTCTAGTGGTTTACCCACAGTTCCGTGCATCGCACACCAAGAACTCGCCGTAAAAGACTGTTTCATTGGCTAATCCCTCACTTCAACCAGGACGTCTGTTACAGATCCTTGTGTAGTAAAGACAAATAATATGAAATTAGGAACTATATAAAAGGAAACGAAATGTGATCTGTGTTTTAATCAGATGTTCATCATCGTCATCTTGTATTTATTGCTATCATCATCATCATCATCATCATTTAAAACAATTATATTTTTGTGTTGTTTTTAGATACAGTAATAGTCGAATATTGTCTGATATTCAAGAGTTACGATGGGTAGGCAACATGTCCTGTACAGGTCAAGAAACTAGACTTACAGATTGTCCGAATTTTAAATGGGGTAATCTCAAAAGCTGTGGAAACAACGCTAATGATGCTGCTGCTTACTGCTTTAATGACCCTGGTAAGTTTTACAATGGCATCTGGTGTCTTCATAGTCATGGGGGGTTGGTTGACCGAATGGTTAGCACGTGGGTGCGCGCTGTATCATAAGGTCTGTCATTGAGTCAACTGGCATGGTTTTGATTCCCCAGTTGTACCTGACAAGGAGTATTGTCGCCTGTCCAACCTCGTGGGTTTTCTCCGGGTCCTCTGGTTTGCTTCCACTTCTAAAGTCCCCTACGTGCAAGCGAATTATTGAAATAAAAATGAACCGTTTGTTAGTCCCAAAATGACCTAGTTTGTGTCGAGTGGATGTTAAACTCTCTCTCTCTCTCTCTCTCTCTCTCTCTCTCTCTCTCTCTCTCTCTCTCTCCCTCCCTCTCTCTTAATAGTTTAAAACGAGCTACGGTCTGATTGTTGGCAAGGAACCGTGCTCAGTCGTTCGGATGGGATGAAAACTGAGGTCCAGTTTACACACTGACTTACACAATTCCAAGGTGGCTGTGATGACGTCACATTCGATTCCTGGTCTTTGGCACACCTGTACGTGTTGACGAGAACAGCTGGATGTTTTTGGGTTTTTTTTCGCTTATGCTAGGTTCCCACTATCACGAACCGCGCTACGATGGAAATCATGGTTTTAATTGTGGAGTAATCGTGGTGATCCTATCAGATCTTATCATATATTGAGGTCAGTCGTAGAAATCATGATGATCGTATCGAAACATATTCGAACGTATCTACACCTACCAGATCGCGGACTCAATAGGGTCATTCTATCACACTACACTGGGAACCTAACATTAGTCATTCAAATGTAATAATGAATTTGGACAAATGAAATTTTTCTGGATCTTCATTCATTATTCTGATGCCATCTTCCATTTCTTTTCAGCTATGAGAAATGTGTCCTTACGATTACAGAACGGAACACATAACGAGGGTCGTGTTGAGATTCAGATTAACGGAACATGGGGAAGTATTTGTGGATTTAGTGTAGGAGAAAGGGAAGCTAATGTTATATGTCAAGCACTAGACTTTATGGGCGGTATTGTTTTGGACATGGGAAGTTATGGAGAATCGAAGGGACCAATTCACATTACTGAAATGGATTGTGATGAAAATACGAAAAGTATATTCGGTTGTTCTTTAGCAGGCTTTGGACAAGCAGATGATCTATGCGATACTCATATCTATGATGTGGCCGTCAGATGCTATGATAATAGTAAGTATGATAATAGTTCTCTGCCTTGTCGGTGTTACAAGACGGAGGGCCTAACAAGAATGGCTGTCTAGGCGTTCGGATGGTACGAAAACCGAGGTCCTGTGTACACATTGGCGTGCACATAAAAGATCCCTTGGCAGTTGGAATTTGATATAAGAGTAGGCCGTAGTGCCGCTGTCCGAGCAAAATTCCCCTCATAGCACACTGTATGGCGTATGCCCGTCTTCATTAGCCCAGTTAGGAGCAGAACAGTAGGACGTTAAACCCCATTTCATTTCATTTCATGATAATAGTTCTAACTTATCAGATGCTATGATAAAAGTAAGTATACTTTAGTTTACCTAGTTCCAGGTGGGGGATTCAGTCGGTCAAATTTTGACGTATCTAGTTGGTTTACCTCATGGTCCTGTTTCTCCAAATCTTAACTGAAGATAAAATCCAAATTTTAGTAGATACTTCAATTTTGATTGGCTAAGCGCTAAAATCAACCTAATATTATCCAATCAAATTACTAAAATCTGGATTTTATCTTAGTTAAAATTTCTTGAAACAGGCCCCTGATTAGTATGTTTACGCATGAAAACTATAGCTTTAAGTGTATTTTATGCTCCTGGACCTGATAAATGACTATAGCTTTAAGTGTATTTTGTGCTCCTGGCGAAGTAACTTCCGTGTACCCATTTGGAACTGATTAATGACTAAGCGGAAACGGCACTGTCCGGGCAAAGTGTCATATCCGTATTGCATACTTAAACAATGTTCAGCCTGTTTCAAAGGTACTAGATAGTTTAAAGTGTACTATATATTTTGACGGGTACTTTATATTTTGACGGGTACTTTATATTTTGACGGGTACTTTATATTTTGATGGGTACTTTATATTTTGACAGGTACTTTATATTTTGATAGGGGTACTGTGTATTTTGATGGGTACTTTATATTTTTATGGGTACTTTATATTTTTATGGGTACTTTATATTTTGACAGGTACTTTATATTTTGACAGGTACTTTATATTTTGATAGGGGTACTGTGTATTTTGATGGGTACTTTATATTTTGATGGGTACTTTATATTTTTATGGGTACTTTATATACTATTTGATGGGTACAATGTACTTTGAAGAATACTATATTATATTTTGAAGGGTACCATGTATTTAGAAAGGTACTATATATTTAAAAAGTGATCAGAGTCACTTTCTTTTTATCACGCTGACGGCCGTCAACGTGTGTGGAGACGTCTTGGGGAACGTCTTGCAGACTGCTGCATCTTCGAAACGAATCGATGGGGTGGGGGAAGTGTAATGGTGTGGGGAGGCTTCACATTTCATGGGTCGCGTTAATGCTGTAGCCTACCGTGATGATGGCCCATGGAGTACACACGCGCTACTGACATCTGTGCCGTACTTTTGGTTTTGACCCCTCTGACTTTGTACCCTTGATTACAGATTAAACATCCATAAGTGTACAAATGTGTTGTTATTGATGTGTTCCCATTTGAATATTGTTCACAATAAGAAGCAAAATAAATAAGATATGTTTACAGGATCATTTTGTTATACGAAAAACTAAGTGATGCATTTTCCATGGCGCTCAGTATATGTAATTAGAATGGTGTACAGTGTATTTTGAAGTGCACTATATCTTGGGAAGGGTACTGTGTATTTTAACGGGTACTATATTTGAAATGTTCAATGTATTTAGTAACGATATTATATATTTGAAATATCCCATATATTTCAGTACGAATCTCTGGTTCCCTTCACAATAAACGACAAAATGGACGTGTTGAAATAAACAACGGTACCAAGTGGTTGGCAGTGTGTGATAATACCTTCGATGATACCAGTGCTAATGTCTTTTGTCGACAGCTGAAATATACTGGTGGTTCAAGACAATGTTGTTCTAGTCTTGGATCTATAAGTCCCTTGGTGCCTATAGGTATAACTGACGTAATGTGTGCAGGCCAGGAGACTGATATTCAGGACTGTAAAATAAACTACGGTACCTGCTCTAGTGGACAGTACGTTTCGGTTTTCTGTACGGACGAACCCAGAACTACAGGTTAGTAATAATCATATTAATTTCTTGAATAGATAATGCACCATATCCAAACTTTCTGTCCCCACCACGGTGGCTACGAGGGTATGACTCTGACTCGCTAATCAGGAGGTCGCGTGTTCGATCCCGGCATTGGTCGTCATTGGCCGAGAAAGTTCATCGGGATTTTCGAACATGGTTTCCCCTTGTCAGTGGTGCAGGACTGACAAGGACAGCTGTCTAGTCGTTCTGGTGGTACGAAAGAAAGTGGTCCTGTGTACACGTTTGTGTGTAGGTACAAGAAACCATAACAGTTGGAATTCGATAAATAGAAGACGTTCTGGACACAGTTGGCCAGGTTGGTGCAAAAAACTTGAAGTTAATCCACATTTCTTTTTATTTACAGCATTAGACGTTGTTTTATCACAAGGTACACCTTATTCTGGAATTGTAAACGTATCCAGAGAAAACGTTTGGGGCGCGGCCTGTGCTGACGGCTGGACTCACGACGAAGCCTCTACTGTTTGTAAACATATGAATTTTTTGAATGGTTACGCCCTCCCGTCGACAACCTTACCCACCGGAATACCGTTTGTTATTGGTCATGTGAATTGTACGAGTTCTACGAGTCGATTAGATGCCTGTACGTACGATAAGTTTGAAGTTGATCATGGATGTGGTAGCAGTAGGAAGGCGGCACGAGTTATCTGTACAGACTCCAGTGGTAAGGGTGTTTCTTTATTTTCGTGGTTGTTTATTACACAGGTACATGCACGCTGTATCATAAGGTCTGTCATTGAGTCAACCGGTGTGGTTTTGATTCCCCAGTTGTATGTGACAAGGAGTAGGGTCACTTGTCCAACCTCGTGGGTTTTCTCTGAGTCCTCCGGTTTCCTCCCACTGCTAAAGACCCCTACGCGCAAGCGAATTTTTGAAATAAAATTGAATCATATGTTAGTCCTGAAAAGGCCTAGTTTTGTCGAGTGGACATTAAACCCTATTTCTCTCTCTATTACAGACTTAAACAAACATTATGCAAGAGTTAAATCTGCCTATTGCAGTTCTTTCTTTCGGTCTGAAATGAAACAAAAAAACTTTGTGCCATCACTGGCATGCACGTTAAAGACCCCCTTTACAGTTTGAGTTCTCGAAATAAAAGTAGACCGTAGCGACAGTGTCCCGGTTCAATTTACCTCATAGCACACTACATGGCGCATGTCCATCTTCATTAGTCCAATCGATGCAGAAGAGACGTGTAGGACCTTAAACCCTATTTATTTGTATTTACAGTGGGTATCCTCTATAGAATTAATGGAACGGGTACGCAAGGAAGGGCCGAGATTTATTTTAACGGAAGATGGGGAACCGTATCGAAAGTTTTATTCGGTGATTTGGATGCTAAAGTATTTTGTAAAGCTGCTGGCTATAAAGGTGGTGAAGAATATTATCCCATAATAACATCAGACAGCAGGGATAATGTACTAGTGTCAGAGGTTGATTGCGACGGTACGGAAAAGAATTTTCTAGAATGTGGGGCAAACTGGGATATAGATTACAACAAGGCTATTCCTAAATCATATGCTGCTTATGTCAACTGCTTTAGAGAGGGTAAGTACTCGTAGCATTATAATTCAGGTATTAATTCTTAAAAACGTGTCGATATCATAAGTCGGTTAATACCCATTTCATTTCTTTTTTTACGGAATTTAAGACTACGGGAACTTCATGTAAAGATGCAGTATGCGAGATTTAGATAAAGAACTGTTCGCGCTTGCAGATCTAAGCAATTTTGTTGCGGTCCAATAACCATAATAGCACCCAGCTCCAAGAATGTGTTCCCACTAATAAGTATTTTTAAGGTTGTGAATAAAGTCCTTTCTCCCACACTACTACAATGGGTAATGTCGCAAAACGTTAATCACAGCCACAGTAAAGTAGCAAGTTGCTGATTGGTGGAGAGTATTATTAACATCTAATTGTCAGGTGGAATGCATGCTACCATTGTGAAGAAGCCACAATTCCTCAGTCGAAAACCACTTTAAACTTCATTTGTAATCCCACGGTATTGTTCTCTTGGGATGGTATATGTGAAACCTCATTGCCCCCGCCCACCCCCATCTCCCGGACTACCCTATGTGGTAATTTTGTATGTGTTACTGTCTGTTTCAGTGAGGATTGAGAGAGGTGATGGTAAATCTACTGGGAAACTTCATGCTTATCAGAATGAAAGATGGGGAACCATTTGTGAAGCAGGTTTTGATGACAACGATGCTGGTAAGCATTAAGCTCTGTACACATTGCCAATTTTTTCGGAAACATCTCGGCAACACACCTGGGCAACAAAAAATTAGCCCTGTATACCCACGACAACAGTTCGACAACATGTTAGGCAACTTAACAACCATTCCTTGCTGGTAGCTGCCATTTCTGGTTCATTAGCATCTCGGCAACAAAATTGATGTTGTATTTATTCCGGCAACATTTAGACAACATGTTTTCGAATGTTACCGAATGTTTCCGAACTGTACACACTATCAACGTTTTCACCAACATCGCACCTAGTCAAAGTTGCCAGTGTGTACAGGGCTTAACATTACTCTGGGGGCCACTGTGGCTCAGTGAATAATGCACCGAGACTACATTGACATAAATCTATTTTTAATGATATTCCATAATAACAGTTATTCCCCTTGTTTCAAAATCTTGAGAGCATTCCATGGTAAACAGTGTGTGTTTTATTTCATAAAATTTTGTTTTAATTATATTTCAGCTGTTGCATGCAAGGTTTTGGGATTCGAAAGTGGTGTGGCTTTGTGCTGCAGTCCATACGGGTACAACTTCGATTCTGCTGTTATGTCAGAGTTGAACTGTACCGGAAGTGAAACGAGTCTATCTGATTGTAGTTTCAAGAAATATGAATCTCTATCACTGTGTTATAGACAAGAGTACGCCTCAGTGGCATGTTTCAATGGAGTCAAACCGTTAGGTAGGTACACATTCAATATTAACCCCTGGGTGGATGACCGAATGGTTAACACGTGCGCGCGCTGTATCACACGGTCTGTCATTGAGTCAAGTGGCGGTGTTTCGATTCCCCAGTTGTACGTGACAAGGAGTAGAGTCGCCTGTCCAACTTCGCGGGTTTTCTCCAGGTCCTCCGGTTTCCTCCCACTGCTAAAGACCCCTATGCACAAGCGAATTATTGAAATAAAAAAAAAATGAACCATGTGTTAGTCTCGAAATGAACTATTTTGTGTCGAGTGGGCGTCAAACCCTCCCTCTCTCTCTCTCTCTCTCTCTCTCTCCAATACATTAGTTATGATATAACGAATAGATTGAATTATTTAAATATGAAGTGGGCTTAAAAAGATTAAAGTTAAAAAAGGTTCTTGTATGTGAAAAATTTGTGATAAAAGAGGTAGGTACACATTCAAATTTAACCCACTATTCATTAGTTACGATATACACCGCTTGACTTATGTGGTAGTAGAGAAATACATGTCCTTTAAAACATTCAAATCTGTGGGTTTCATTTTGTCTAGAATGTACAGTACAGTATACTGTGTTTAATATGTACAGTACAGTATATTTTGTGTATCGTAAAGTATATTGTGTAGAGAATGTACAGTACAGTAGTTTGAATGTACAATATATAGTGTATAGTATGTATAATACAGTATAATGAATGTACAGAACAGTATACTGTGTTTACAGTACAGTATATTGAATGTACAGTGCAGTATATTGAATGTACAATACAGTATAATGAATGTACAATACAGTATATTAAATGTACAATACAGTATAATGAATGTACAATACAGTGTGTTGAATGTACAATACAGTATATTAAATGTACAATACAGTATATTGAATGTACAGTACAGTATATTGAATGTACAAAACAGTGTATTTTAAACATACATGTATATTTTAAACATACATGTATATTAAATTGCTATGCAATATTTACTTTAAACTATTTGAAACATCAATGAAGGTATATTTGATATTGTAGATTACAACGTGAGTCTTGTTGGTGGCTCCACCTATACTGGTGCTGTACAAGTTATGTATAATGGTGTAGCTGGTCGAATATGTACAGACGGCTGGGACGACGCAGATGCTCTCGTTGTTTGCAAGGAGCTGGGATTCACCAAAGGTCAATCATACCGACATTACAAGTCATCGTTTGAGTTTTTCAATTATGCTGGACCATACTGGACGTCCAATATGAATTGTACTGGAACTGAGTCTAACATAGGGCAATGTGCTCACGATGGATTTGGTAGTGTTGAGACCTGTGAATCGCGGCACTATGCAGGGGTTTTGTGTTATGATAATAGTGGTAAGTTTTAAATAGTTCATAGGTTAAAGATTACCAAAGGTCATAAGGCACGGGATCAAAGCCAGCAACAGTTACGAAAGGTCATAGGATATGGGTGTCGGTAGCAGATAATATGCTAGTGCTAAGATAATTGCGGTGTAAATCCAAATAGTTTATAAAGTTAATGTTACGAAAGGTCATAGGATATGGGTGTCGGTACCAGATAATAGGCTGGTGCTGAGATAATAGCAGTGTAAATTTAAATAGTTCATAAGGTTAAGGTTACAAAAGGTGATAGGATATGGGGTCGGTACCAGGCAATATGTTAGTGCTGAGATAATAGCAGTGCAAGTTCAAATAGTTCATAAGGTTAAGGTTATGAAAGGTGATAGGATATGGGGTCTGTGTTGCAGAACCGAGGTCTTCAACCCCCCTCCCCCACTCCCTCCACTGCAAGTGAATTATTGAAATAAAATTGAACCATATGTTAGTCCTGAAATAATCTAGTTTGTGTTGAAATGAGTGGACGTTAAACCCCATTTCTCTCTCTCTCTCTCTCTCTCCCTTTGCTCAGACAGACTGTGTTTCAACAAGATATGGATAAATGTTTTAATGTATTTGTATTTTTTTTAACAGAATTATTTTACCGACTGGCTGGTGGTGGAGATCAGTGGGGTCGAGTTGAGGTAGCTGTTAACGGTGTTTGGGGTACGGTCTGTGATAGATATTGGGATAAACGTGAAGCAACAGTATTCTGTCGAGGTTTAGGATTTGTTGATGGTGATGCAGATTATAACGACTACAATATGAATGCTACAGGTGAAGTGTGGGAGAGTAATCTGAGATGTACTGGTCCAGAAAAGACCTTGAATGACTGCCCACATGAAGGATGGACTGAAGCTTCAACATTAAGTTGTCAAACACATACCAGAGATGCGCAGGTTTTCTGTTACACTTCCGGTAAGGCAATTTTATTTTGTTATGGATGAAAGGCCTGGCACGAAAATGAAATGAAATGAAATGGGGTTTAACGTCCTACTGTTCTTCTCCGGCCAGGCTAATGAAGATGGGCATACGCCATACAGTGTGCTATGAGGGAATTTTTTCCCGGGCAGCGGCACTATGTCCCACTCTTATATCGAATTCCTACTGCCAAGGGATCTTTTACGTGCACACCAATGTGTACACGGGACCTCAGTTTTTCGTCTCATCCGAATGACTAGACAGCTGTCCTTGCCAAGCCCCCCGTTCTGCATTAAAAAGCCTGGCACCGCGTCTAGTCGTCTGAGTTCCAGGTACACTTTGGTGTGTACTTAACAAAAACCCTGGCCGCGTATTCATAAGTTCGAAGTAGTACGTTAAACCCCATTTATTTTCATTTATACGTTAATTTATTATAGGTTGTGGCTGGGTGGATGCGCTTTTGTCAATGAGTCAAGTGGTATCGTTTCGACCTCTTGCGTGGCAAGGAGTAGGGTCACCTGCCTAACTTCGTGGGTATTCTCCGAGTCATGTGTAAACACAATAGACTTTAGACATCATACCTAGTCACGGCTTAATGTTAGTTTTTGAAAGAGATTTTTCACTTTGCACGAGCCTGTGTTTCAATGAATGTAGTGAACCACTTCTATGGTTCTAAAATCGGAATCTATCAGAGACCTAAATCATAATTTTACACACGAAATTAATAACAAAAAAACATCATGACCGGTGTTCCACAAGGGTCTTTTCTAGTGCCACCCGATTGTTGTATTATGTGTAAATACGCATGCGCTGATGAGCCACATTGTTCTCTTTCAGTAAAACTAAGTACGGGTGTAGGTAAAACTGTAAATAACGGACCAGTTATGATAAACGATGGAGGAAACTGGTACAGGGTATGTGATAAAGGTTTCAACGACAAGGCAGCATCAGTTGTATGCAGAGAATTGAATTACACAGACGGGCGAGCTATCTGTTGTTCTGCTTATGGTACTACCAATGCGCTTTCAACAACGATATTGACCAATAAGACAGTGAGATGTACAGGAGAGGAGAAGTTTGTTAAAGATTGTCTGAAAGTAGAGAAATGTGATTCAGGTTTCTATGCTTCAGTGGTCTGTTTCCAAAATGAAACAGAGGCTACCGCTACAGGTAACATTTGATTTGAATTAACCATGTGATGAAGTGACAGAAAAAATATTTTAGTATTGCTTCGAAAATTGCATTTACATATGGGAGCTCTGTCTTTTATTTTAAGCTTTGGAGATTTAATAGCATATGACCTAATAATTGCGATATCAAGCTTGATTCTAGGTCCATATGCTCCCATCGTGCCAATTTCCGAATCAGAGTTGTCTTCCCTTGCAGTTCGCTCTAATGCTGGATGGCTAAATCTACTTGGTTAAGGCCAGCTCAGTTTTCTTCAAGGTTGGAGAGATGTAAATGAGGTTAGGGCACGTGATTGTTGGCTAGATTGTGAAGGTTAGGGTAAGCATTAGGGCTAGGTCCAGGGTTAGGGTCGGGACTTGCATGAGATAATGTTGTCGTTCATGGTTGTTTAAAAGCTGACGTGTATCGTCTTTGTTTCAGGATATACTATAACTACTGAAGATGGCTCAACGGAAGGCAAGCTGACTGTAGAACATTACGGTGTTGAAGGTAGAATCTGCGGTAGTAACTGGACCGATAAGGAAGCCTTGGTTTATTGTAAAAGTCATGGACATTTAAATGGTATTGCCTATCAACACTCGAATCTAGGCACGTTTGTGTCTGAACGTACATTAGGACCGTATTGGATGAGTAACGTGACTTGTTCCGGAACAGAAGATGATTTGTCGAGTTGCCAGTTTTCAGATAGGATGGGACTAGGTAACTGTACAGGTGACCACACTGCTTCTGTACTCTGCTACAATACATCAGGTAGGTCATAAACTTCTAATCTGATTAAAATACACATTTATATTTCGTTTCGGTGGCCTACACTACATGAAGATCTGACCAGTTTTACTGGAATTTCGCGTCAGTTATCGTAGGAAACGGCTTTTGACCCTATGACGTCAGACATTGATTAATGAATCAGCGTTGACGTTTGTAATGGTTTACCAACAGTTCCATCCATGGCACGCTAAGAAGTCGCCATAACACCTGTTATAAAACAACTCTTCCAGATCCTAGTGTAGTAAAGACAAACAAAACGAAATTTTGATCTATAAAAAACGAAACGAAATAGGATCTGCGTTTTAATTAGATTGATTAACTTTATATAGAGGATAGGTGGACGAATGTTCCTAGGCTTGTGTGTCACAGGTCATAAGTTTATCATCTTTGCAGATCGTATAACTAATAGTGTGTACATTGTTTCAAGTATTGAATGTCGTATATACATTGTTTCAAGTATTGAATATCGTATATTGAATGTTTCAAGTATTGAATATCATATATACATTGTTTCAAGTATTGAATATCGTATATTGAATGTTTCAAGTATTGAATATCGTGTATTGAATGTTTCAAGTATTGAATATCGTATATTGAATGTTTCAAGTATTGAATATTGTATATTGAATGTATCGTATATGAATTGTTTCAGGTATTGAATATCGTATGACTGATGGTGACAGTTATTATGGACGAGTTGAAATAAGTGTGGGTGGTGTGTGGGGTACTGTTTGTGATACGTATTGGAGCTATTCAGACGCAGCCGTTTTCTGTCGTCAACAAGGATTTAATGATGGGGTGGCACAATCAGGCGCCAGATATGGTCAAGGAACCGGACCTATTTGGTTGAGTCACATCCAGTGTACAGGAAGTGAAAGTGCCATCCACCAGTGCCCTCATCGTGGATTTAATGACGACTTTTCATCCAGTAGTCCTAGCTGGCCTTTTAGCTTGCCCTGTACCACCCATCAAGATGACGCCTCGGTATTTTGTTACAAAAATGGTAAGTTAGCAAACTTTTTGTTTTTATATTTCGTCTCTGATTTGTTGTTAGAGTTATAATTTTAATCGGGGGGTTGAATGGCCGAATGGTTAGCATGTGTGCGTTGTATCATAAGGTCTGTCATTGAGTCAATTGGCGTGGTTTCGATTCCCCGGTTGTACGTGACAAGGAGTAGGGTCACCTGTCCAACCTCTCTGGGTTCTCCAGTTTCCTGCCACTGTTAAAGACCCCTACGCGCAAGCGAATTATTAAAATAAAATTGAACCATGTGTTAGTCCTGAAATAACTAGATTGTGTGGAGTGGAGGTTAAACTCTCTCTCTCTCTCTCTCTACTCTCTCTCTCTCTCTCTCTTTCTCTCTCTCTCTCTCTCTGGGTCTTACATAGTCCTATGGCTTGAGTCGGCCTAGATGGCAGTAGATTTAGGTTGGTCCCTTTGTAAAAGTCTTAAACAGATAAAGCCATTTTATGTGCTGTTTTTTTTTACAGTGAGAACCAACACAAGATTTGGAGCTACTATGGGAGGTCTAGAAGTCTACCATAACAAGAAATGGTCAGGTGTTTGTGATACAGGTGTGGACAATACCGTTGCCACTGTAGCCTGTAAGAGCCTTGGACAGAATTTTACTTATGGTCGAGTATTAACAGGGTCTCCGTTTGGTGACCTACGAGCTGATAAAATTGGTATAAAACTAATAGTATGTAAAGAGGGGTATACTGATATCTCTAACTGTACTATTACTGAGGGAGATTGTACTAGCGGTTATTATGCTGGCATAGCTTGTTCCACAACACCATTCAACGATACGGGTAAGTCAACAATCCTATTTCCTTTCGTTTTTTTTATAGTTCATAATTTCGTTTTACTTGTCTTTACTACACTAGAATTTGAAAGAGTTGTTATATAACCCACTTTTTGGTTAATATGGTGGATTAGCCAATGAAATAATCTGTTGCAGCGAGTTCTTGGCGTGCGATGCACGGAACTGTTGGTATCCTACTAGAAACATCAACGCTGATTTGTTAATCAAATGTCTGATGTCATAGGGTCAAAAGCCGTTCGTATAAACCCTGACGCGATGCCCTACTACAACCCTCAGATCTTCATGTAGTAGAGGCCATTGAAAGTATAAAAAAAACGAAACGAAATATAGATCTGTATTTTAATCAAACTGGAATTTTCGTCACGTCTACGTTTTGCAATCTCATTCTGAACACAAGAGATATGCTACTTGTGGAGAAGTACAGTTAGCTATATATGGTTTTCGAGCGATAGTTATGTATTTGTTAATCTTCGTTATGGCTGCGTTTATCATTAATTTTTCTTTTGTTACTGCTTGTGTAAAACTAAGGCTCTGAAACCAAACATTATGAGGCTCGTCGTTGCCCTCGGGTTCAACTTCAAGGGATGGATGATTGAAATATTAATTTATTTACGGAATACCGGAGTAATCCAACAGTATTTTATTTAAATCAGCGACCATAATGAGATGTATAAACGATATATACCTATATCATAGCCCAATATATGCATGTTTATATGGTTGATGGGCTGAGTGAATAAGGCGTGCGTGTTGCATCATATCATAAGGGCTGTCTTTGAGTCAAGTAGTTTGGTTTCGATTCTCCGCTTGTACGTGACAAGGAGTAGGGTCGCCAGGCCTCCGGTTTCCTCCCACAGCCAAAACCCACATACGCGCAAAGCGAATTGTTAAAATAAAATTGAACCATATGTGAGTCTCAAAAATGACCTAGTTTGTGTCGAGTGGAAGTTAAACCTCATCCCCCCCCCTCCTGTATTATTAATTTATTTGAATTATTCCGGTTTCCTCCCGTTGCTAAAGACCCCTACGCGCAAGCGAATTATTGTAATAAAATTAAAACCATGTGTTAGTCCCGAAATGACCTAGTTTGTGTCGAGTGGACGTTAAACCCCATCTCTCTCTCTCTCTCTCTCTCTCTCTCTCTCTCTCTCTCTTTGAATTATGTTATTGTTGTGTATTTACAGGACTGGGTGTACGTCTGGCATCAGATGGATTAAGTGGAGATCATCACGGTATTGTAGAAATTAGACGTAACGGAGTATGGGGCCGTGTTTGTATGCAAGGTTGGGATGACGTCGACGCTAATCTCGCTTGTAAAGATCTGGGATTTAAAGGGGGTGTGTCATATCTACACATAGTTAAAAACACCAAAGCTATATTAATCAGAAATGTGTCGTGTACAGCACAACAGAGCAGTTTTTCAGAGTGTGGCTACGATACCACTCCTGATCGTGAAAAATGTGGATTTGATGCCAATGATGGCGGTGTCATATGTTACCAGAAATCAGGTCAGTAACAACAGAAGATATAGTACCATCGATTCTAAAGCTCCATCACACCTCGAAAAATATCCTGTCTCGCGCATGAAACTCACCATCGATTCTAAAGCTCCATCACACCATGTAAATATCCTTTCTCGCGCGCGAAACCCACCATCGATTCTAAAGCTCCATCACACCTCGTAAATATCCTGTCTCGCGCACGAAACCCACCATGAATTCTAAAGCTCCATCACACCACGTAAATATCCTTTCTCGCGTGCGAAACCCACCATCAATTCTAAAGCTCCATCACACCTCGTAAATATCCTGTCTCGTGCGCGAAACCCACCATCGATTCTAAAGCTCCATCACACCTCGTGAATATCCTGTCTCGCGCACAAAACCCACCATCGATTCTAAAGGTCCATCACACCACTTAAATATCCTATCTCGCGCACGAAGCCCACCATCGATTCTAAAGGTCTATCACACCACATAAATATCCTGTCTTGCGCGCGAAACCCACCACTACTATAATAACACATAAACATCCAGTACGCACACTAGTAGTAGTCTTGAATACAGAGTTGTCTTCCCTTGCAGTCCACTCTTTCAAGACTTGTTTGGAGGATGGTGTTTTATTTCTTTATTTCATAAAAGACAGAGGACAGAGTTTTTTAAGCAGTCCTCGTAAGATTACACAATTTCTAGGTGTTCAAAATGAAAATCAAATGAAATATGTTTTAGTCTATTACATTTCTGCACCAATCAGGCTTGCGAAGACGGGCATACGCGAAAAAGTGTGCTATGGGGGGAATTTTGCCCGAGCAGCGGCGATACATCCTACTCTTATTTCGACAGGGGATATTAAATGTGTGGCCAGTACTTCGGTTTTTCGTCTCATCTGACTGTGTGTTTTCCTCACCTTGGATGAGAGGGCGCCTATTCTGCAGGTACTAATGGCTAAATCTATTTGTTAAGGCCAGCTCAATTTCTGCCCAGGTCGTTGAGATGTAAATAAGGTAAGGGCATGGTGAGTGTGGACGAGATTGTAGGTTAGTGTTAGGGTAAGCATTGGGGCTAGGTCCAGGGTTGGGGTTAGCGTTAGCCCTGTTTACATCTCCTGACCTATGACGAAAAATTGAGCTGGTCTTATCATCAGCTCTTATTTTATCCTAATCCGCATCGGTCAGGGCGCAACCTACGATCATCTATCCCCAGACATCCCCAGACGTTTAAACGCTGACCTTTCTATTTATTTCAAAACGTCTGCTGACCTTTCTATTTATTTCAGGTGTACAGTATCGATTGAATGGAGATAGTACGACTTCCGGTCGGGTGGAAATCGGGTATGATGGAACATGGGGTTCTGTATGCTCCTGGTCCTGGAATACAAACAATGCAAGGGTCTTGTGTCGACGTATGGGCTATAAAGATGGTACACCCAGATATGATATCCTTCCTAATTTACCGAATCTGAGACCAATGTTAAATGGTGTATTCTGTGTTGGTAACGAATCCTCGTTATTAACGTGTTTAAATTCGGGATTTAATTCATCCCTCCTGTCCTATCTGTGTACCAAATCAGCTTATGCCACGTGTTATACAGAAAAACTTAGTAAGTTATATTCTATTTTATTAAAATAATTGGGTTGCCTGTCCAACCTCATGGGTTTTCTCTGGGTCCTCCGTTTTCCTCCCACTGCTAAAGACGCCTACGCGAAGCGAATTATTGAAATAAAATTAAATCATGTTAGTCCCGAGATGACCCATTTTGTGTCGAGTGGACATTAAACCCCATTACCCTCCCCTCCCTCTATTACAATAACACCCTGTTTCAGCTTATATGCCACATGCTATCCTTCAGAACTTAGTAAGTTATATTCCATTTTATTAAAATAACATCCTGTTTCAGTAGTTCTTGGTCGCAATCTAATTAAAACACGGATCCTATTTCGTTTCGTTTTTTATGGTTCAAAATTTTGCTTTATTTGTCTGTACTACACTAGGATGTGGAAGGGTTGTTATATAACAGGTGTTCTGGATGGCGTGAGGGATTAGCCAATGGAGCCATCTGTTATAGCGACTTCTTGGCGTGCGATGCACGGAACTGTGGGTAAACCACTAGAAATGTCAACGCTGATTGATTAATCAATGTCTGGACTCAAAGGGTCAGAAGCCGTTCGTAAGATCTTCAAGTAGTGTAGGCCATCGAAATTATAAAAAACAAAAGGAAATATAGATCTGTATTTTAATCAGATTGTGATTGGTCAGGGAAGGGGGTTGGTCTGACAGATCATCTATGTGGTCGTTTCGCGCCTTGAATCCGATTGTTCCCAACTAAATCTTGTAGGTTTTCTATGGATTCCCGGCGCACTCACACGTTTAAAGCACCCATATTAGTCCTGATATGAACAAGTTTGGTTCAGTGGATATTAAACCCAGTTCCCCTTTGCTCATTTCAAATATCAGTTGACTGAAAGAACCACAAGCTTATGTGGGTTTTTTTTGTTTTCGTTTCATCATGTTCCCTATAACTTTTGGGGCATGGTTGGGGCATGGTACAGGTCTTCAATGGGCATATGTCATGACTCCCCAACTGGCAGGTTTAACAACTCCCAAATGGGTTCTTTGTATAACGTCTCAGAAATACATTCACAAATAAATGCATTTGATATTTTATTTTTGTTGTAGCGTTTACCAAGATTCGTCTAGCAGGAGGTAGTGATAATAGCACAGGACGTGTTGAGATATTAGTTGATAGTGATGGAAGATGGGGAACTGTGTGTGATGATTATTGGGATGACAACGATGCTACTGTAGTATGTACCCAGCTGGGCTGGAACTCGGGGGTTGTCTTTAAAGGAAAGGGATATGCAGCAACTAGTGGACCTATCTGGTTGGATAATGTCAACTGTATAGGAAATGAAACTAATTTCAACCAATGCCAACACAGAGGAATAGGAACACATAACTGTAACCATACTGAAGATGCTGTAGTAATATGTTCCAGTAAGTCTTTAATTTTTTTTGGGAGAAAGAGAGAGAGAAATGGGGTTTAACATCCACTCGACACAAACTAGGTCATTTCAGGACTAACATATGGTTTAATTTTATTTCAATAATTCGTTTGCGCGTAGGGGTCTTTTGCTGTGGGAGGAAACCGGAGGACCCGGAGAAAACCCACGAGGTTGGACAGGCGACCTTACTCCTTGTCTAGTACAACCGGGGAATCTTAACCACGCCAGTCGACTCAATGACAGACTTTATGATACAGCGCGCGCACGCTAACCATTTAGCCATCCAACCTCCCTAATTTTTTTTGGGGGGGGGGAAGTCATATAAAATTCATCGATGCGTCCGAGAAAACCTTTGTTGATGTCCCCTTGCGTCACGCCTTAGTTTATCTTAATGAAAACATGGCATATGATAACATTTATTAAGGCCTGTCCCTACAACCGACCTTAATTTACGTCCTTTTTAGATATCTAATTATAAAGAAACGGCCTATAAGGCTTCTTGGCGGAAGTTTGATTGGCTCATCATGTCAACAATACTTCCTATAGATGTCTAATTATAAAGCAACGGCCTATAAGGCTTCTTAGAATAAGTGTGCTTCACTCATCATATCAACAGTACTTGTCATAGATGTCAAAGAGGAGCCACGGTGACTTAGTGAGTAAGGAGCTGGGTCAATAACCGTGAGGCTCCGGGTGTTGGCCAAGACCTCGCCCCAGAAATTAGCAGCGTAATTTCCCTCTTGTCAGTGTTGCACGATGGTGGTCCCTCGTACACGTTGTCGTGCTGGAAAATGAACCCATGTCAGGGAAATAGACGTTTATCCCATTTTAGATGTCAAAGATCATAATATATTACGTCATAGTGGGCGCTAGTGACCGGTCCTAGGCTATGTTCTGTCAATAGTTATGGCAATATGTCTATAATGAATTAATCGCGTATGTCATGGGGTCGCGGTGGCTCAGTAAGATCTTGGGGCGCTAACCTGGAGGTCCGATGTTCGATCCAGGTTTTCGATCCTGGTGTTGGTCCAGAAAGTTCATTGGGATTGTTCCCCGTCTTCTTTAGCCCAGTATGAGCAGAATAGTAGGTCGTTAAACTCCATTTCATTTCATTTCGTTGGCATTTCGTCGGGGTTTTTTTTGTTCTTTATGGGGATATTTTGTTGTTTGGCTGTTTTTTGTTTATTATATTTATTACCGAATGTATTAACGTATCTATGTGTCATATTTCAGTGGTTACAAAGCCGGCGCCGCCTACAACGGTTCGTCCGTCCACTACAACACTACCATCAACTACACCACCATCAACCCCGACACCAACAACCACACCACGACCACAAACCACAACGTCCGTCACTACAACAAAGTCACCACCGACAACACCACCAGTTCAACCTCCGGTCACTTCAACGAAGCCACTAACATCAACAACTCTACCCACGACAGTTACCCAGGAAGTGACGTCAGTCGTTCCGCCACCCGCCGGTAACCCAGATCCAGCTGCGGCGTCGTCATCGTCGTCATCTACCCTAGCGGTGGCAATTGCGGTACCTTTGGTTTTGCTCCTTGTAATAGTGGTGGTAGTGATCGGCGTGGTCATGTACAGATGTAGATATCACCCTAAACATAATATTCAACATGAACGGTTCCATGATGACATCATAGAACAGACCCATGATGGAAGTATTTCGATGAGTAACCAAATGTTTGATATGAACCTTAATGAACCGGTCGATCCCCTGGGAGATAGTTCGGCGTATATGGCAGAAAACGCAGAGGTCACAATAGGCGGTAATGGATACGCTCATTTCGCAAAATCTCCTGCGGAAACAAACGGGGACGCAAATGGGGGTTTCAGCAACCCTCTGTATAATATAGCCCGTCAAGAGACAATGTCAGATCCGGCCAAGTTAGAAATAGATGTACACGGTATTGATAACAGCCATTCCACGTCATAATGTTTTTATATATCCAGAGTTATCCCCCCACCCCCATGTGTACATAACCCATTTTATACGATACGTGTACATAAAAGAACATTGTAAAATGTCTAGGGAATCGTAGGCTCAACTACGCACAACATCTTCTAATACTTCAACCTAACGTCTTTCAATGTTGTGATATGTTTATAGGCGTTCCCCTTTAAGGTGAAGAAGTTATGTATGTCAGACTTTCCCTTTAACATAAAGATATTCAGAGGACATGTGTAAATCTCGCTCTGTGTGCTGGATTGAATAACCTAAAGAGTTTGATAATACCCTGCAATGGACGTGTCCAAATTTCGGGTCTTTCAATGTACTCGTCAATCCTGCCGAGGTCAAGAAGACACTGTGGGGAGTAATAATCAAGATTCGTAGATAGAATTATATTCTAAAATCCAAACGGTTTAACTTTATTCTTATTGAAATTCAATCCGATTAAAACACAGACCCTTTTTCGTTTCATTTTTATAAAGTTCAAAATTTCGTTTTACTTGTCTTTATGCACACTGATCCGCAGTGAATATTTGCTTGGCCGCGACAATCACTGATAAGGATGACATTGATGCGGCTTAATGAGCTAGAAATATTAACTTTTTTCCTGCGACAAATTAAATTCTAAAACATTTTTTGTATATATTGGAAAAATAAATAAAGGCGTTTGACGTATTTGTAGTTAAAAATTATTTCCAATTTAGTGTAAATGGGTATTAAAATGACTAAAATGCAGCATTCTCTCCGAAGCAGTTATGTCTTATGTAAACAATGCACGCGCCATTCAGCCAATGATTCACACCGCGTGCTGTGACAGCACGTGTTAAGGCAGTCATCTATGACAGAGATATTATACGAGACTAATTCTCTGTGAAACAGATTGGTCTTTATGTAGTGTAGGCCGGAGAAAGTATTAAAAAACGAAACGAAATATAGGTCTGTATTTTAATCGGATAAATTGAAAACTACTGTTTTTAATGAAGAGTTTTGTCAATTTTTATTTAAAAAGATTGTAATTTAATTTTAATTTGATGAGAATTTATTGACCATTTAAATGGTTTGATTTATTTCCACTTTGGTTTATTATTATTTAAGGAAGTGGTGGATTTATGATAATATATGGCTTTATGCATACATTAAAGATATATTATGGGAGATTAGATAAAGAGCTGGCACTTCTCACTATGATAGTCAAAAACTAGATAATGTAAAGGCAATTTGCTGAAAATTTCAGTCAAATTGATCCACTCTGAACCGAGAATTTATCGATTGAATTTTCGGCCTAGCCTCGATCATCATTACTAAAGTCGGTAGGATAAAAAATATAGTCTCGATTATCCATTTCATAATTAAATTATGAATGGAAGACGAACAGCAAATCGGAACCTAATCCAATAAACATCGCATTCTAGCGATGTGAAGCCATCGAGAGTTGATTATGGTCTGGATAATTTAATTGTCTAATTAATAATTTAGAAAACATTTCAGGCCTAAAGAAAGACCTTGCATAATGTATGTTTAACAGTCGTTATAATTGCTCAGAGTTAGCTGTATCTGTGTAAAATAGCTTTATTTAACCTCCGCTTCCACTGAAATAACCTCTCCAACACTCTAGATCTAACTACGTCTTGATATCAATGCTGCCTTCTCTTTGAAGTTTATCTTTAGTCTCCTCATTGATTTAAATCAATGCTGCCTTCTCTTTGAAGTTTATCTTTAGTCTCCTCATTGATTTAAATCATTCTTGTCGAATACACAGGATACCGTATTTGGTATTTTTAAGGCTAAGTTAAAGATACATTATGTAAGATTTAGATAAAGAGCTGGTTGTTCCTGTTATAAAAGTTCCAAAATAGATAATTCAAAATTAATATATTAAAATTTCATTCAAATTAATTTATTCTGAGCCAAGTTGCCACTGTTGGTAGTAAATTCGGATCACGTTCGTTCGTTGAAAATAAACTTCTTAAAGATGTTGTTATATCTTGATGTAGTGTAGGCCTAAATATAAAGGGTGTTGTTGGATATCACCTCGGTAGAAGCGGACGTTAAATAAAGCTATTTCACACACTTACTATAGTGTAGGCCTACATTCCAGCAATAGGCCTATTATTATCCTACAAAGTTGTATATGTTAAGATGATATGAAATTTTAAGAAACCGCAGGGAATATTTGTGGATTTATTTTGTATTATGATTATTCACTATGAATTATTGTGCTTGGTTTTTATTTTATTGTATGTCTATTTTAATTATATGTAAATATATTCAGAATATATTATAATTATACGATTTGTCGTCGTGTGATCATGACGTCAGGTTCTTAACCTGACATCAAAACAATATTATTTTCATTGAACTAATTTACTAATTATTGTATAAGTTTGATTCAATCTGATTAAAATATAGATCTATATTTCGTTTCGTTTTTTTATACTTTCGATGGCCTACACTAGTAAAGACAAGGAAAACGAAATTTTGAACTATAAAAAACGAAACGAAATACGATCTGTGTTAATCAGATTGGTTATCATTACTAAGGAAGATAGATAAAAAAAAAAAGCATAGTCTCGATTATCCAGTTTTTGATTTAATCATCAATGAGCGTTGAGCAGCAGATCGGATTCCAATCCGACACATAAGATGACATCGAAAGTTGATTATGGTTCTTTTTATGTTAATAAATGTCTAATTAATAGGTTATATAACATTTCAGGCCTAAAGAATGGCCTGCAATAAGCAGATTTGACTCTTGCATAATGTATGTTTAAAGGCCCAACATGAGCTATGTATGCCCTCACCAAGGGCCTGATATCAATATCGAGTTCAAGGACCAATATACCAGAATAAATGTTGTTTTGTTTGATGAGTATTTAGACAACTTTCCATCCTACTATCGGGCCATGTCTGAATCTAGATTCCTCTTTTTACATTCCAGAATGTCAAATTTTATTATGTTTATATTTTTCATTTTACATTCTGTGGTTGTATTGTATATTTTAAAGAAACTGGGCGTATATGACTATCGAAATGAAAAGAAATGGGGCTTAAGTTCTCCTTGTCTGTATTGGTTGGGCTAATGAAGACGGACGGACGGACGGGCGGGCGGGCGGGCAGACGCCACGCAGTGTGCTATAAGTGTCAGTTTGCCCGGAGAGCCGTAGGCCTACTACCGCCTTCTCTCTTGTCAAATCCAAACTGTCAAGGATTCTTTTAGTGCAGAGGACCCGTTTTGTTTTTTTTTTTCGTGCCACCCGAAAGACTAGACACTGCCCTTGTCAATCTCGCCGTTCTTCAACCCTAACAAGTCATGAAGGAGAAATATGACTATCACAATCTGTGAAGTTTGGTGGAGTGTTGTATATGTAAATTGTTTTATATGTACATGTAGGCTAATATAAATATATTAACTGTTTATTAACTCGGTGTTTATGAAGCACATCATATATAATGTCTAATATATTATACATATTTTGATAATAGTTGAAATGTAGATATATTTTATCAACTTCCTAGAACCAACTGTAAAATGTTTTTTTTTTCCAAGTATTATGAAATAGATATTTTTGTTTTCTAAAAAAAATCTCTCTATTTTGTTGTGTTTTTTCTATGTTAACGCGAAATGAAATGAAATGGGGTTTAACGTCCACTCGACACAAACTAAGTCATTTCGGGACTAACATATGGTTTAATTTTATTTCAATAATTCGCTTGCGTGTAGGGGTCTTTAGCAGTGGGAGGAAACCGGAGGACCCGGAGAAAACCCATGAGGTTGGACAGGCAACACTACTCCTTGTCACGTACAACCAGGGATTCGAAACCACGCCAGTTGACTCAATGACAGGCCTTATGATACAGCGCGCACGTGCTAACCATTCGGCCATCCAACCACCCGAAATGAAATGAAATGGGGTTTAACGTCCTACTTTTCTGCACTGATGGGTGGGGGCGGATGGCCGAATGGTAAGCACGTGCACGCTGTATCATAAGGTCTGTCACTGAGTCAACTGGGTGGTTTCGATTCCCCGGCACTATGGCCTCAATTTATATCGAATTCCAACTGCCAAGGGATCTTTTACGTGCACGCCAATGTATACATGGGACCTCGATTTTTCATCACATCCCAACTACTAGACAGCTGTCCTTGCCAGGCCCTCCGTCCTACTCCACTGACAAAGGGGAAACCACGTCGGAAAATTCCAATGTACTTTCTCGGCCAATGCAGGGATTGAACACGCGAACTCTGGGCTAGTGTCTCACCCACCGTGAATCCCATACCTTGCTATGAGAGACACTTTGGTCCGACAGACATTTTGGTCCGACAGCGGTGCTATCACCTAATCTTATTTTGAACTCCAACTATAAAGGGATCTTTACATGCACGCGGGGCCTTGTTTATTGTAACAATCTGAATAACTTGACATTGTCCTTGCTAGGTCCTCCGTCCTTCACCACTACAAGGGGGAACCACTCTGGAAAATCCCTAAACTACACTAAAATAGGCAGTGTGAAGTTGAATCGTTATTCGTTATTTCACACTGCCACTAAAGGCAGAATATAGGTGTTCTTCTCCAAACATGTATCCTTTCGATTCTATGTTGGGATCTATCTGCGGTCAAATAATTTTAAAAAGCAACAATCTGGATTTCACACAAACAGGAATGTGTTCACAAATTGTAGTTGCGGTCATCATGTCTGATAAATTGTTTTCATGGCATTTAGTAATTCAACTGGAATATACAGGTCACAATTCTATGGAATACAATTACTGCTTATTACTGAGAAAGTTTCCACTAGGCTTCTCTAGTCATGACCAAGCAATTCTTGATAATGGCTAGAGAAGACTAGTCGAAACGTAGCTCAGTAATAAGCAGTCATTGTATTCCATAGAATTGTGACCTGTATAGGACTTATGTCGTCACTTCTGTAATAATTTTGTTAACGCTTTATGGATTTCAGTCAAATTTGATAGGTCTAGATCTGTTACTAGGGGGTTTTCTATTCAGATTTGTTCAAATAAAGCTACTTACCCTGAGCAGAGCAATCTTATTAAAACAAGGATCCTATTTGATTTCGTTTTTTTATAGTTCAAAATTTCCTTTTACTTGTCTTCACAACACTAGGATCTGGAAGAGTTGTTTAATATAACCCATGTTCTAGTTGATGTGAGGAATAAACCAATGAATTGGTCTGTGTTACGGTGAGTTCTTGGCGTGCTTTACATGGAACTGTGGTTAAACCTCTAGAATATGCCCAAAAGCTGCTCTTATGACCCCTGTAACGCGACCTCCTGGTACAACTGGTCAGATCTTCATGAAGTGTAGGCAATCGAAAGTATAAAAAAATGAAATGAAATATAGATCTGTATTTTAGTCAGATTGGTGAGCAGGGGTGCCTTTCCAGGGGAAATTTAGGTAATCTTTAAAAAGTCTAAAGTCCGGCCCACACCGCCACGACTTGCCCAGACTCTACCCAACGCAACGTCTTGTCTCAGATAATCAGTGCAGTGTGGACAGTCTCACGATCACGATTCAATCGATTTCTGTCGCGTCGTGGCCCGTCGACCGGACTGAGCAAGTTAAGTCGTAGTCGGATGCAGTTGGATGCAGTCGTAACCCATCGTGTTTGTGTGGACACTCACACGACACGATCAATTGTCTTACTGTTGTTTAGCCAGAGATTAGCATTTAGTCATGTGACTGTGCAGGTCATGTGCTCCTTGTTTTCCCGGCAAAATTCAAGATGGCAGATTTTTGGACAGAAGAGAGACGCTACAAGGAAGTGGCGTAACTCACGACGCATAATCTGTGAGAGTTGGGCTGGTGTGGACTGGTACCGTCAGAGGCAAGGGAAGTAAAGATGCGACCCGATTTTTTTTTACAACTACCCAAGACGCTGAGTCCTGTCGGGTTGTGTGTAGTCGTAGCGGTATGGGCCGGGCTTTATTCTTCAGAGGAATACTACCCTTTCCAAGATCAAGATAGAAGTTTGTAAATGCAAAGGAGTTGGATCTGGACGCAAAGGTACCTCACAGGTGAAAGCGCGAACAAGCGTGCAAGAAGGAGGGAGAATTTATGGGGTTTAACGTCCACTTGCCACAAACTAGGTTATTATGGTTCAATTTTATTTCAATAATTCACTTGCCTGTGTGGGTCTTTAGTAGTTGGAGGAAACCTAAGGACCTGGGGAAAAAACACGAGGTTGGACAGGCGACCCTACACTCCTTGTCAGGTACCAGCGGGGAATTGAAACCACACCACATGACTAAGAGAGAAATGGGGTTTAACGTCCACTCGACACAAACTAGGTCATTTCGGGACAAACATATGGTTCAATTTTATTTCCATAATTCACTAGTGGGAGGAAACCGGAGGACCCAGAGAAAACCCACGAGGTTGGACAGGCGACCCTACTCCTTGTCACGTACAACCGGGGATTCGAAACCACGCCAGTTGACTCAATGACAGACTTTATGATACAGCGCACACATGCTAACCATTCAGCCATCCAACCCCCCTACTTGACTCAGTGACAGACCTTATAATGCAAAGTCCCCCCCACCCCCCATTTCATTACAAGAGAACATTATTTATGAGTTTATATGATAAATAGTTACATGTATATATATACAAAAAATCCTACAGAAAAACAAAAATATAACACAAAACAAAATAACCATACCGGTACATAATTATAATTTATAAATATCTTCCCTAATCACACATTCACTTGTTGTAAAAATAGTATTTTTATATAAAATCAAATCATACGGTAATAAAAATATCAAAGGTAATTACAGGTGAGGGTGTGAGTTAAATATTTTCAAACACTGACCAGATCTTATCTAAATTCTTTCAACTGAATCCGAAATATACAGGTGACAATTCTATAGAATACAATTACCTTTCAACAAGGCTTATCTAGTATTTATCAAGCAATGATGTTAAAGATACATTATGGGAGATTAGATAAAGAGCTGGCAGTTCTCACTATAATAGTTAACAACTAGATAATGCAAAGGGAATATGCTGAAATTGCTCCACTCTGAACCGAGATATTAGGGATTGAATTTTAGGTCTAGCCTTGATGATCATTACTAAAGTCAGTACGATAAAAAAAAAAATAGTCTCAATTATCCATTTTTGAATTAAATCATCAATGAGCGTTGAGCAGCGGATCGGATTCAAATCCAGTAAAAATCTAACACATAAGTTAGAATCGAGAGATGATTATGGTCTGGATAAGTTAATTAATGTCTAATTAATAATTTAGAACACATTTCATGCCTAAAGAAAGACCTACAATAGACAGATTTAGCTCTTGTATAATGTATATTTAAGAATCATTATTCCATGGTTATCCAGGAAGTATTCCATGCGTATCCAGGGTGTATTCCATGCTTATCCAGGGACTAATTCAATGTGGAATATGGGTATTCATCACCCTGTCTATCAATGTTTGACTGTAGGGCCGTAGTCACACACAAAATAAAAAATAAAAAATAACAGGTAAAATCTATTAATCTTCTTATATCTTGGATATTTAATGCTGATTTGGTTTTTACAGGTATCCATGTTGTTAAAAAATAAATAATATTTAAAAATCTGTTTTCATATTTTACTTTTGGTAGTTATATATATTTTTTTAATTTTCTGTTGTTGTAGGCTGCTCTGCTGTGTTTTGATTGGCTGTGGATGGTGTTGTTGCAGATGACAAGGGAATTGATTGGCTTTTGAATTCTGATGACATTGCTGATTGGTTGGTGTTCTGTGATAGTGATGTCATCATACTGTCACCAGGAACACCCATGGTAATGGTCCAGATATTGAAGTCTTCTTCAGCTTTATGAGAATTGAGACTAGTATGAGAGGATATCTCGTACTCACGTCCTAGGGGGGTTCTGAAATATTTACAAACAAACTGAAATTAATTCATTATGATAGAGAGAGAGAGAGAGAGATGGAGTTTAACATCCATTCTACACAAACTAGGTCATTCCAGGACTAACATGTGGTTCAATTTTATGTCAATAATTCGCGTGAAGGTAAGGGTCTTTAGCTGTGGGTGGAAACCGAAGAACCCGAAGAAAACCCATGAGGTTGGACAGACGAGCCTACTCCTTGTCACCTACTTACATGCAGGGAATCGTTATGGTTTTGGGTTCCATTTGTAATAAACAAAGATTGTAACAATGGGAGGAAACTAGAGGACCCAGAGAAAACTGAAGGACCCAGAGAAAACTGAAGGACCCAGAGAAAAACCATGAGGATAGGCAGGCGACCCTACTCCTTGTACAATATTTTGTCCCTTCCGAACAACCACTGTTCCTTGTCAGGCCCTTCGTCCTGCAAAACTACAAACTAGGTCATTTCGAGACTAACATATGGTTCAATTTTATGTTAATAATTTGCTTGTGCGTAAGGATCTTTTAGCAGTGGGAGAAAAACAAAGAGGAACAAGAAAAAAAACAGGAGGTTCGAGTCCTTGTCACCTACATGCTGCATGGGAGTCAAAACCACGCCACTTGATTTAATGACAGACCTTATGATCTAACATGCTTGCTTTAAACGATTCGGCCACTACTTACCTAACACGGAAGGCTTCCTCTACAGATAAATTCTGATTGGTTTTACAGTGAGTAACAATTACTGGTTCATTAGCCTATATCAACAGAATATATTCAAATTACAATAATGAAATGAAATGAAATGGGGTTTAACTTCCTACTGTTCTGCTCCGAACTGGGCTAATGAAGATGGGCATACGCCATACAGTGTGCTATGAGGGAAATTTTGCCCAGACAGCGGCACTAAGGCCTACTCTTATATCAAAATCCAACTGTCAAGCGATCTTTTGCGTGCACGCCAAAGTGTACACAGGACCTTGGTTTTTCGTACCATCCGAAAGACTAGACAGCTGTCCTTGTCAGGCCCCCCGTTCTGCATCACTGACAAGGGGAAATCACTGAACTTTCTCGGCCAATACAGGGATCCAACATCCGACCTCCAGACTAGCGAGCCAGTGTCTTCACTTGTGCGTAGGGATCTTTAGCAGTGGGGGGAAAACGGGGGACCCAGAGGTTGGACAGGTGATCATACTCCTTGTCATGAACAACCAGGGATTCAAAACCACGGCAGTTAACTCAATACGATACGTATTGCGATTCAGGTGCTACCTACAATTTTGACAAAACTTGAAATATAGGTTTATCTCCGAAAGATCTTGGTTGCTTTCAATGTTGGCATGTATCAGACCGTAACTTTACAGGTTATGGCCCCTGATTGTACAAAAAATTATGTCTTTAGCTTGTGAACACTCTAGAGGTCACAATTTTTATCTGATTTCGATGAAACTTGTTTTGGTCCTTATTTCTTCAAGTTAACAATTATTCATTTAGCCTGTTATTTTCTTGATAAATATTAACCTGGTTATTAAATATTTGGCATTCCGTCTGTGAAACAGATTGAGCTACTACTAAGTGATATAACTTACCGGAACAGGTGCCCCTTCAAACTAGGACTGAAACAGATCGAGCTACTACTAAGTGATGTAACTTACCGGAACAGGTGCCCCTTCAAACTCCATGCGTAATCTGGGATCTTTATGTAAAATCATCCACTGAGTTAAAAACGATGCTTCACTAACTAACGATACAAGCTGATGACGAGATTTCTTCGTACATTTCATAAACGTAAGCTGATCACTGTGTAACAATAACTGTTAAATAACAAAAAATATCATTAGTTGACATATTGAGAGTAGAGAGAGAGAGAGAGAGAGAGAGAGAGAGAGGGGGGGGGGGGGAATGTCCAATCGACACAACCTAGGTCATTACGGGACTAACATATGGTTCAATTTTATTTCAATAATTCGCTTGCGCAGTGGGATGAATCCAGAGGACCCGGAGAAAATCAGCAAGGTTGGACAGGCAAACCTATGCCTTGTCACGTACAACCGGGGAATCGAATCTTAACATAAGTAGATAACTGTGTAATGAAATGGAGTTTAACGTTCTACTGTTCTTCACCGACTGGGCTAATGAAGACGGGCATACGCCATGCAAGGGATATTTTTCTCTGACAGCGGCCCTATAGCCTACAATTATTTCAAATTGCCAAGGTGCCTTTTACTTGCACGCCGATGTATACACAGGACCTCTGTCTTTCATCTAAACTGAACGACTGTACGTTGTCCCTTACCGGCCTTCCCTCCTGCACCACTGGCAAGGGCGGGGGTGGGGGGGGGGGACATGAGGAACTTTATCTACCAACACCCGGATTGAACACCCTAAAATATTATACATATACATGACCACTATAATACATAATATGTCTAATAAAACTCATTCACTTGAATCCATATAAGGAAATCTATTAAGAAATAAGATATAGATATTGCATCGTCTTACATTTCCAGCTTCTGGTAAAGTTGATAAATAAAATGGCTGACCATATCTTAAAACATCTCCATCATTACATCCTTCAATACTACAACACAAAAATATTTACAGAATCATCCATAGAATCAGGAGGGTGTGTATTACATAGAATCAGGAGGGTGTGTATTACATAGAATCAGGGGTGTGTGTATTACATAGAATCAGGAGAGTGTGTATTACCTATCCATGTAATCAGAAGGGTGTGTTTTACATATCCATAGAATCATAGTCTCAATAAGAAACAGTGTTTTAATCAGATTGATTTTATTTAAGGTTTTTTTTTAATTATAAGTAATAATGAAATTACCTTTTAACACAGAAAACATTTCTTAAAACTGGCTCCATTGATACGCAACCTGACACTCCACATATGTCGGCAAATTTATCTTGTGTTAGTTGCATGGGATCTGTTAAATTGAGGGCCAGGGAACAATCATCACGGGGGTCGACTCCAGTAAAATATTTTGTTCTATCGGCAGCACCTTTACAACATAACATGACCATGTGGCCATAGTGAACATAACCATCTTGAGAAATACTCAGTTGTTTCTGAAATAAAGTAATGTCTCAGTAACAAATGAGATTTATAATGGTAGACATTTTAGATTTGAAACAAAAGACTTTCCAGCTGAACAAATGAAAAGGGATTTAATGTCCCTACTTTTCAGCTCCAACCGGGCTAATGAAGGAAATTTTGCCCTGTGACAGAGAGAGAAATGAGGTTTAACTTCCACTTGACACAAACTAGGTCATTTCGGGACTAACATATGGTTTACTTTCATTTCAATAATTCGCTTGCGCGTAGGGGTTTTTAGCAGTGAGAGGAAACCGGTGGATTCAGAAAACGCATGAGGCTGGACAGACGACCCTATACTCATTGTCATGTACTACCGGGGAATCGAAACCACGCCAGTTGACTCAATGCGTGCATGTGCTGATCATTCGGCCATCCAACCCCCACAATTTTGCCTGGACAGTGACGTTTATGCTTAGTTTTTAACTATTATAGTGAGAACTGCCAGCTCTTTATCTAATCTCCCATGATGCATCTTTAATTGGGATTTCTGACACTATTAGTATTTCAGACTACACAATATTTATATGTTGGAAATAATCATCAAAATACAAGAATAAATTACCTTCTGTAATGCTACACCAGCTAAATTACCGTTTTTCTGTATCAGTAATTCACCCTTCTCTCTTTTATCTAAAAAATCTTTCAAACTATCCTAAAAATAAAATATATATAAGCTTATATTACTATTACCTGTAGTTTAATAAAATATATATAAGCTTATATTGATAAATAAAACATGTATAAGCTTATTATATTACTATTCCCGGTAGATAAATAAAACTGGGAATTCGAAAAGTATGGAACCCCATTTTTTTTTCCACAATATTCAAAATTAAACACACAAATTAGATTTTTCAAGATTGGTCTAATTCAATCAATTTTTGATCTTATCTTGCCATGAAAATATGAGATCCTAATGTCCTATATTTTTAAAGACACAATGAACATTTTAAAATCAGAATGGACTAAGAAGCAGGTGTAAATGCTGCCGTTCAATTTGGACAGTTTGCATACAATTTTCCCCTTCAACTTATAATTTATCAACATAAACAGGTTAATAGTTTCTTTTGTCACCATAATCATTTCAGTTTTTGAAAGAGCAAAACATTATGATTAATAGACATAGGTTATTAAATAATTAAAGTTACAATTTCATATTTTCTAAGAAAGTCAAAACATAATTATTTCTATGATATGCCTCTTGCTCAATTCAACAGGCTGTCAACTCACTATTATACGATCATAGGTTATCTTTGATTCTTTCTCACACTTAAAAATCTTCACACCGGAAATAATAACACAATTACCTCCCAACGACCTCCCTTGTTTTCCTATCCCCACCATGGAATAGCTATCTTCAAACATTTGAATTTGAAGTTGAAAATGATATTTTTGACAATTTCTCAACTGGCCATAGTGAATTATAGGATTAATAGGATTATTCTTTAACAAGGTAGGACTGTTTATAGATACCATCTTTTTTAGGGCTTTATTTTAATACATTTTAAAAATATAACTTAAAAATATGAAATTGTAACTTTAATAACAATAGACATAGAGCTTGTCAAACAAAATCACACACAAACGTCTCATCAACTGTCATCAAATCAACCCGATTTATTTGAAGTGAGGCTAATTAATTGAATATTGTTGTATTTGAAGCTAGAAACTAAATCACGCTTCCTTGATAATCAGAGGGTTGGGCAAAATTACTCAAATTGAAAAATTTTGATGCACACACAAAAGAATTCCGTACTAGGCCTATTCTGGATCTTAAAAAACAGCGAATCAAAAATGTCAAATTATTAACTGGACTTTTTCAGAAAAATTGTTACCTCCTCGAGCTGAATATCTTCATTCCAATTACCGACTCGAACAGACGGGTTGTATGTCCGTACACTCATGATGAAAACTTTCTTTTATTGGTTATAATTATCCTGTCGATTGAAACAACCCGATGAACGAAATGATTTTCACTAGCCTTATCTGTCAAAGGAAGTTGTTTACCTTGACAACCTTATCCCGCAGAAAACTGTAGTCGTGAATGCCCAGTATTTAATTATTTTGGCGATTTTATAAAACTTATCTATCTAAAAAAAAAAAAAAAAGGTTCATTGATAACAATATTCGTGTACTTACATTTAACGATTGTTTCTTGTAATTAAATTAATAATTCGCTATATGGCTCTAAAATGAAGTAATTTCGCAAATTAAGTCTGGAAAGGAAAGACTACATTAACTTTTTTTTCTTTTTAATGATTCAAGCGACTAATTTCTTATATCAATGAAAATTGAAATAATAAAAACATCGGTTATCTCCCATTAGTCTCCAAGATTAATCACAAACTTTGGTTATTATGGATAATGATGCAGATAAATTTCATATAAAAATAAAACAACCATGAAAGACAAAATATGTTTCAACTCACTAGGATAATTTTTGGTCAAAATGTTTGAAATGTTTTTGGAGAAAATTGCAAAGCAAAACCTTTTTCATTGGGCTATCTCTGCCCCATATAGAGTCTATATAATGTCCGTTTTTACTTCAGTGTTAATGAGGGGGTGGGGGGGGAGGAGGAGCAGGAGCGAAATTTCATCAGAGAGCAGTGTTTGAGTCATCCTTGGTATCCCAAGTGATATCATTCTGCTCTATTCCACTAACCCGTGGGTCCATTGACTGGGGAGACACATATTCAAATTATCTGCCCTTGATGATTGTGCTATTTTTATTGACCAATCGAGTGGGCAAAGGGAAGTAACGCGCATTTTATTGCAACTAAGTTTATTGTATTGAACCTAATCAGTGAAGCTAAGACTGGTATGTAAACTGTTTTTTGATTGGTTTATAGAATTAACCTACGATCAAGGGCAGATAATTTGACTATCTGAAAATCCAGTGAATGGACCCAGGGATTAGAGGGTGTGTTTCGACCTACTCTTCTTTGAAATCCAACTGCCAAGGTTTTTATTTGATGTGCACAGGTTGTCCTAGGTATTTCTATCCATCCAATGTTCTTGTCGTTAGCCCTACGCCCTGCAGCTTGACCCCACACCCCACCAACAAAACATACTCATACTGTACCTTTGTACAGAGAGAGAGAGAGAGAGGTTTAACCTCCAATTGACACAAACTAGGTCATCACAGGACTAACATATGGTTCAATTTTATTTTAATAATTCGCTTGCAGTGGAAGGAAACTGGAGGACACGGAGAAAACCCACAAGGTTGGACAGTCGACCCTACTCCTCATCACCTACACGCTACGGCTTATTCTTATATCGAATAAAGGGATTTTTTACGTGCACCCCAATGTGTACAGGGGACCTTGTTTTTTTGTTGTCCCATCCGAATGACTAGACAGCTGTCCTTGTCAGGCCCTCCATTCTATACAACAGACAAGGGAAAATCAAGCTGGAAAATCCCAATGAACTTTGTCAGCTAACACCGGGAGTGAACTCGCGACCTCCAGACTAGCGAGCCTGCATGTAAATAACTTAGCAACCATGGCCCCCCCATGGTTAGCATGCTTGTTCCTTGGACAACTGTGCATCGATCGACCGACTTCAATTTTTGATAAGCATTAATTTCTCCCTAGCATTAATATCTTCCCAGAATTCCTCTCCCCATCATTTCTTCTGAGAATTAAAGGAGATCAATCACTATTCTTTGGCAGCTAGAAATGGATAAAAATTGGTCGCAAAACATATAATAATGCAATATGAATGAATATAAACTGAATTACATTCAATCGTTTCTGGTTTTACTGTAATTTCTAATCAAATTGAATGTCAGTCTGGTTATTCCAGTCGATATCGGCAGTTTTCTCCTGTGGGATATGTTTAGCCTTGTTCATCGAGTTGCTTCACTATAAATGGCGCTTGAAAGCATTCTGGCACACGATTTGTGTGCCAATTTTAAAATTTTCATTTTGTCTTAATATTGGATATCAGAAGCCCATCTTTTCACGGTAAGATAACAACATCAATGTTGATTTAAATTGACCAATAAGTTGTATTTGCAATGTTGAAGACTGTGGATAATACTGAGTTAGCAACTTGTCTGCCAGAATTTCCACCTAGCATTAATTTATTGTTTAATAGTAAGCAAACTAATTTACGATACAATAATGTTATAAATAATTTTAATACGTCAGATTAACAAGTTTTAAAATACATACAGTAAGATACTGGTAGACCTAGTGTCAATTATACATCAGATTAACCAGGCTTAAATACATCCAGTAAGATACTGATACAGTCAATTATACATGGCTAAATCTATTTGTTAAGGCCAGCTCAATTTTCGTAAAGGTCGCAGAGATGTAAAAAAAAAGGTTAGGGCACTTGATTTTTGCCGAGATTGTAGATTAGGGTTAGGGTAAGCAATGGGGCTAGGTCCAGGGTTAGAGTTAGGGTTGAGATTAGAGCTAGCCCTGTTTACATGTTGTGACTTTGACCAAACTTGAAGTTGGCCTTATCAATTAGATCTAACCATTATACACAGTTTACAATATTATGAAGGAATAAATAGTAACAAAATTCCCATTGGTTAATTTACTATTTCCATAATGTAACATAAATTCTAAATATCACCTTCACTTTTAAACTCAATATTTTGTAGAATTGTCATAATAATTTGACACTTCTCAGAATTTTCGTAATTACTAGAAGCACTCCCATTCCAAATTGACCAGCTAGACAGTATATTTATAAGCTATGATTCCATTTAAAAGATAAATTTGTCTAGTCACATACAATAATAATACCTTAACAATAGCAGGGAATACATTATTCTAATGTAAACAATAAAATTTCACAAAACTGATAGCTTTAATCAACAACAAGTTACTAATAAACAATACAATTTATGGCCTCTTGTCTGAAACACATGGCTAAATATCAGGTTTTCTTTGAAAATTATTCCAAAGGGAGAGAGAGAGAAATGAGGTTTAACGTCCACTCCACTTAACACAAACTAGGTCATTTCGGGACAAACACATGGCTCAATTTATTTTCAATAATTCGCTTGCACGTAGGGGTCTTTAGAAGTGGGAGGAAACCGGAGGACCTGGAGAAAACCCACAAGGGTGGACAGGCGACCCTACTCTTTGTCACGTACAACCGAGGAATCGAAACCATGCCAGTTGACTCAATGATAGACCGTATGATACAGTGCGCACGTGCTAACCATTCGACCCCCTCCCCATCCCAAAGGGTAAAAATATTAAAGATACATTATGGGAGATTAGATAAAGAGCTGACAGTTCTCACTATAATAGTTAAAAACTAGTTAATGTAAAGGGATATAATCTTTAAATGGCATTTAGCGATTGAACATAATATAACACGACACAGTTTTATGGATAACAATCACTGATATCAGTACAAAAATGGTCGACTTCCATTCAGTATTTACAAAGACAAGAGGAAATGAAAATTTTCCAAGATTTGGTATTGACTGCGAGCGATATTCACAGTGCCACCTATAATGGTGGAGCAAAATCTTTTGATTGACTTCTTTATAAACCGATTGAATCCATATTGGGTTTCATTTCTTAATTAAATCTTAAACATACTATTGATTAGACATTCATTAACATGACAAGATCATAATCAACTCTCTTCGCCGTCGGACATCTCCGATATTAAACAGATCAGAACGGTTCAGTCATATTTTGATTTAATCTAAAAATGGAGGAGCGAGAGATAGCTTCGAACAACCAGTACGGTGGTTGCAATTAGTGCACTCATCTTGTCAAACGTTCAAAGGCTAATATCTTCACTCGCAATAGAGTAATTTGAATGAAATTTTCAAATTACATGTATTCATTTTACATTATCTATTTTCAAACTATTATAGCAAGAATGGCTAGCTCTTTATCCAAATCTTACATAATGTATCTTTAAATAACAAATACAAGTAGATTTCCGCATGGATTAACCCCTGAAATATTAGAAAATACTATCTGAACAATACCAATGATGAATAGACAGTGGTCTTAATATTATATAATTTATTTAATATGATTTGGGAGTTCAAAATAGAAAAAATTATCTTAAAAATTAAACTGATGGTATAAAGTGACTTCTACTGAGTTAAGCAAAAAAGCTTAAAGGTGCATTATGTAAGATTTATATAAAGAGGAGAGACAGTTCTCCCTAAAATACTTTAACTATAGATAATGAAAAAGGAATATGTTAAAATTTAAGTCTGATTTCTTCATTCTCGATTTTCAATTGCTACAGTTGTAACAATAACAAACAAAGTCTCGACTATCCATTTTGAAATCAAATTATTTAATGATGATTGGGTTTCAACCTGTTCAAAATCAAAACCATCCGATGGTCTAGGTAATTAATTACCGGCTTTTCATGTGAATAAATGTCTAAATAATAATTTATATAATCTGTCAGGCCAAAAGAAAGATCTGCAATGGACAGATTTAGCTCTTACATAATGCATCTTTAATTATATATATTATTATTGACTTTGTAATCAATCAAAACATATAAGTGAAGCTTCTTGTTGAGTTTGTGGAGGTGGTTGTTGGGGTGCTTGCTGGTAACCTTGAGGTGCATTTTGCTGTTGAGGGGGTGCATTCATCTGTTGGTGAGGAGCTCCAGGAGGGACCGAATACTGCCCTGGATGATTCATCATTCCTCCCGCGTGTTGCTGGGGTGGTGGATTTTGATACATCGGCTGTTGACCAGGTTGCTGGGGTAACGCTTCTGACATTTTTTGCATCGAAAAAGAACTTGGATCTACATTTTGTGGGTGACCCACGTATCCCTGTGGTGCCGACATGTTAGGATCTGGATTCATCTGTCCACTATAACCAGGCGGCATATGATGTTGATTTGGTCCGCCATCAGTTTGTAAGGGATAATGACTGCCTGGTGGAGGCTGCTGGTGCTGGAGTCCTGGACCACCAGGAGGAATCTGTTGCATCATCTGAGGTTGATACATATTTTGGGGATGACCATACATTCCTGGAGCTTGCGTGTTCTGCATACTCTCCGGTGGAAGATTCTGGGGAGGCATGTTTGGATGTTGCTGTTGTTGTTGATAAACCCCCGTTTGATGAACCGGTGATCCTTCTTGGGATCCATTTGGACTAAACGTATAACCTGGACCACCTTGAATATGTTCTGGAAGAGGTTGGGGCTGACCTTGTCCTGGTGCGTACATTTGTTGGGGCATGCCCTGTGGTTGTCCCGGTCCTCCCTGGTACATCTGTTGAGGATATCCGTATGATTGATATTGACGAATCTGTGTCAACTGTCGCTGTTGCTCGAACCTCATCTGCATCTCTCGCTCCTGTTCCTGTAATCTCTGCAATGCCATTTGTCTCTGCATTTCTAGATACTCGTGTTTCTTCTGTCGCATAATTTCTAATTTCTGCGCCATCTGAATCTGTCTCTGCCTTTCTAATTCCTCAGCTTCTCTCCTCTTCTTTTCCTGATGTTCGTCTCTCAGGGAATCGAGAGCTTCACGGGCGTCGCGCAGCTGGGCCAACTTGTCTTGAAGACCTTCGTAAAAACTCCTCAATTCTTCTTGTTCCTGCATGTAATTCATCAACTGTGGATTCATGTTGCTGATGACATTAAACAACGATTGCACGGACGAATCATTAGCAATGCTTCGACCTCGGATTGAATTACTCTGCATTCTGTTAATGAAGATCTGGATACTTGTACTGAGAGCATGAAGGAACTGACTCTGGTCCGTGTCAGTTTCGCCATTTTGATAAACCACTGGTGGGCTACTAACATTTACTTCACTTTGACGTACCGATGTTGAGATAGACTCTGACGTGACCACAGGGGCTGATGGTGTAGTTGTCGGAGCTTTCGTCTCTTCTGATCGCTGAACCCAGTAATTACGATTAAGGTATCTCGCGAGTTCAGGATCCATGTCAGCCGTATCAACCATTGGTACATTGGCGTTTGAACTCTGAGAATAATTAGATGACTTGCTCTGTGGCGAGGAGGATCGTTCGTTCTTACTGATACTAGAATAATTAGTCTTCATTCGGTTTCTTTCTTTTTCGCTTGTCTCGTGCTCACTTTTTGACAAGGCCAGAGCCAATTGTAGCTCTTCTTCTTCTTGAATTTCTTGTTCCGATTTTGCAGGCGGTGTCTGGACTTGTTTTGAGAGAGGACTAGCTAAATATTCTTGTGGCAGACCATCTTCTGTTGTCGCCTTTCCACCAGCGGTGGGTTTATTTATTTTTTCAAAGCAGGAATCGCAGACCCGTACTTCACGTTCAATACCATATTTGGGGATGATCGATGTCTTCGATGAGCATTTGTGACAGTAGATTTCCCCACAAGCACGACAGTGGTGTTTTCTCTGTACCACGCTAAATTGAACTCTGCATCGTGTACAAACATCCGAATCTTTCCACTCGGGTGCTCTTTCGGCCACAAACATGGCATCTGCTTCTTTTAAAACAGGAAACTTAAATCCCTCCATTTTCATCAAATGAAAGGTGTCTTGAACAACTTTATAATTTGGTTCGTTACGGAACGCATGAGACCATGCCTGTACCAACTCCAATATCTTTCCTTTAACTGGATCATTCCGTGCCTTGGCTTGATCTTTGAGAAACTCCATGTATTCTTTCGTCGCTATCTCTTCATGGACACTGTTTCCACAGTTCTTGACAACTGACTCCAAGACTTGAAGTGCGTACATGGCGACGTGAGGGTTGTCAACCGATATTTTCTTCTTGATGCTAGCCAGGGCGATCTTGGCTGTGACATCCTTTTGTCGTATACTATCACATATTTGAAGGATGGAATCCCAGTCTGGCTCCAATAATAACTGGCTTGTCGCTTTTTCTAGCGTTTTATCAAACGGACTTTTGAACATTTCTGGTTTCTTTCTTTACTCCGTGAGAATAAATCAGTGGTCAATCTTCAATATTCGTCTTATAATTACAAATAGTCAGAAGAAAACTTGTGATTTTGTGACATCAGTGATTCACTATCTTTTTTTGATACTAATAATATCTTCCGGACAAATGTAAATAAAGTGGATTGACTACAGGAATGCGGATCAGAGATTATTTGGAGGTATAGGGGAGACAACTCCATTTTATCGCATGAAAATTATTTTTTCTTTTTTTTTTACCATACAATAAATTCGGGAAGCGCGATCGATGTCTGTCACATATTAAGTATACACTATGCCTACCCACAGGGGCGGTAATAGTGTGGCGAGTGGTGGCGCTTCACCTCTTTTTTATTGCCATTTTTTTTTTAAATACCTTCACTACTATAAAAACGAAAACTGTTATTTAGAGCTAATTTCTCCTAGGATTACCCAACTAATCTGAACTGTCGAAACGGTGGGTGGGTGGTCCGGGTTTCGGGATTTTAGGTGGACCGATTATTTGGAAAATTAAAATTTAACTACTGTTTTAAGAAAATTGTTTCGCATCGCTATATCAAGAAAAACAATTTGGGTGTACCAGCTCGAGGCTTTTTCTTTCCTTATACTTCTGTGCTCGGGGGGGGGGGGGCTGAATGGTTAGCGTGCGCGCGCTGTATCATAAAGTCTGTCATTGAGTCGACTGGCGTGGTTTCGAATCCCCAGTTGTACGTGACAAGGAGTAGGGTTGCCTATCCAACCTCGTGGGTTTTCTCCGGGTCCCCCGGTTTCCTCCCACTGCTAAAAAGCCCTACGCGCAAGCGAATTATTGAAATAAAATTGAACCATATGTTAGTCCCGAAATGACATAGTTTGTGTCGAGTGGACGTTAAACCCCATTTCTCTCTCTCTCTCTCTCTTTGCTCGGAATGATGTGTAGGCCTATTTCTACAGATCGTATCTAAGAAATCAAAACTGCGCTACGGACAATATTGAAACGGAAATAAAATTGTCACAGACTGTTTATATCATGTTTATATCTGAAAAGGCACAATCAACATAAAACGTTAAAAGTATATTTGTAGAGATATCAAGCTTCAAAGAGCTAGAATGAATTTATTTGGCTGAGAACGCTCGGGGTTCTTATATCTCCTTGTCGGGAATGTCACAAACTGTTCAAATGTAACGTGTAATAAATTACATTTCATAGTTCCCAAGCCCTGTCTTTATTCTGGGAAAAATGGTAAAAGAAATATCCCAAAAAATCTTTTTGCCACGCTACGTTCGGCCACAACCTCCTTTGCGCCCCCACTCCCTTTTCAAAATTCCTGTACTCGCCCCTGCTACCCCATGACTTTGGTATCTGTGAAAGTTTGATTTATATTTGAACCTATCATTAAAAATGTGTATTTTTATTTTTTAAAAAATATATATTTTGTATCCTTCCGTTTGTCTACACCAAGCTTGAAAGAAAATTGTCTTTCATATACCAGTTTTGCTAGGCAAAAAGAAATGTACGACGTTGGTACCTGTGTGGTGCTAATATCATAAAATCTCAGAAGGTAGGCCTACAATCTCTAAAATACACAATTAACGCTAGTTAAAAAAGGTGACAGATTTTTAACAATCAGCGCTTAACAGCAGGGTCTATGAAGAGGAATGAACACCCCTCATTTCTACCTAGTTTCGAGCTACTTTTTAGCGGAAATAAGAGAGAGAGATAGAGAGATTTTAACGTCCACTCGACACAAACTAGGTCATTTCGGGACTAACATACATGTATGGTTCAATTTTATTTCAATAATTCGCTTGCGCGTAGGGGTTTTTAGCTATGGGATGAAACCGGACGACCAAGAGAAAACCCACGAAGATGAACAGGCGACCTACTCCTTGTGAAGTACAACCGAGGAATCGAAACCACGCCAATATTGACTCAATGACAGACCTTATGATACAACCCCGCCTCTTTTGATGGGACTTTTTGTAATCCAAATGAATTCAAGCCAGGTGATTTTCTACCGTTGATATTTGGGTTTTTTTTTTTTCATTAAATGTTAAATGATCAATGTGAATAAATTTGAGATTGGACTGAGCCTTAATAATATTCAATATTGTCCGAGAGAGAATCAAATGACGATCGCTGTATTTAAATTTTTTTTACTGTTTTGTATATTTGTTGTAAATCTGGTTTTGTGTATTTGTTGTAAATCTGGTGTTGTGTATTTGTTGTAAATCTGGTTTTGTGTATTTGTTGTAAATCTGGTGTTGTGTATTTGTTGTAAATCTGGTGTTGTGTATTTGATACAGTACTATAAAATGGTGTTGTGTATTTGTTGCGGGCCTAAATCGGATTCTATTTTAAAACAAAAAACACACTTATATGGATATACTACCACTGAATTTTATTAGCATGCTACGTTTCGATACACATACAGATATCGTTATCAAGCAAATAATGATTAGTTAACAAAAATGTGGTGCAATATATAGAAGAACACTTTTGAAGCCATTTAGGAGATAAAACAATAACAACAAATTAATTAACAAGATGAAAGATTTTATTAAAATTCAAAAGTAGTATATCGCCATATAAGTGTGTTTATTTTTACTGAAATCTATTTCTATATGTCTTATAAGGATTATGATTTAGTTTATTTTGTTGTATATCAGATTTTGTGTATTTGTTGTATATTTGGGTATCAATTATATATTTGATTATGTGTATTTATTAATTGTATTCTATAATTGGATTTTTGCGTTAAATATGCGTTTATTGGATTTTATGTAGGCCCTATTTATTGTATATTTGGTTTGTGTATTCCTTATTTACTAGTCAACAAAAAAAGAAGACGTTTATTAGTTCGGAGAGTTAGACCGCTTAGCTAGGGGGGGGGGGGGGGTCTAGTGGTCTCTCTAGCTGGCTGGTCACCTCTGGCTTGCCGTCGTGAGCGTATATGTGGCTAGGAGATAGGGGCGCCCTCTAATTAAAAAACAATATGACTTGTCTGCAACATCACCATCAGTGGAAGCGGACGTTAAACACTAATAGAAGAACCGCTTTGTAATCAAATCTATAGTACTGGTATTTGTCGTTGTACTCTATGGAAATAATTATTACACCAGTCCTGTTACAAACTATGTAGTCAATCCGTCAATTTATATATTTGCCGAAAAAATTTCGTAAACATCCGATTTTTGTATTTTATTGTAGATCAATTTTTAGATATAACTGAATTTTCTGTTTCTGATGTTAAGTTTGTTGCGTATTGAATTTTATATAATTTTAATTATTTTAGATCAGATAAGTAAAATCTCGTACTTTCTCGTCCAGCTGTCTACGTCAAGGAAAAATAATATCCGCCATATTGTGGGTGCATCCAAAACATTCATCAGACGGTGGTGACACTTTTGTTTATAAAACTTATTTAGGTTGTTGAAATTGTCATCATGACAAGCGTGTATCCAAGATCTGGACTTGTTCAAAGGCGAACAGCTTCTTCTAATGCCCATGATAGTTCTGGTTCAAGGGAAAATGAGGCCCACAATCAAGAAATCGATGACGAAAATGACGACCGCGATTCGAAAGAAACAAGATTGACGTTGATGGAGGAGGTTTTGTTGCTAGGTCTAAAAGACAGAGAGGTAATCAATTATTTATCTTTATAAAACCCTGATCTAAGACTTGTGCAGGCTAGAAATATTGTAACATTTATTTGTCATCTTAAATTTCAACGTCTGAGCCAGCACGTCGATTGTGTTGTTGTGTCAATGAATAACCCGTCATTTTTACTTTTTATTTTTTTTGGAGGGACGTGTGCGACAACACGGATATCAGGGGTTTTTTTTAGGTTGTCATCTAGAGTTTTCATAGCAACATATACCTTCTCACACTTGCAAGCATTAGAATTTCAGTTATCTTAGATTGTTTAAATTACATTTTGTTTACAGACTGACTCTGTGACAGTTGATCGTTAGAATAAAAAAAAAAAAAGTTTTGTCGTTTTGTTTTTTTTATTTATCAAGGTGAAGAAATTTGATTTTTCATTGATTTTGGAATGGTACTGGCTCGCGTCTTAAGGGGGTCAGCCAGCAAATGCGTGCATGTTGCATTATTAGGTCTGTCATTTAGTCAAGTGGCTTGTTTGACTGTTTCGATTCCGCACTTGTGAGTGACTAAAGAATAGGGTCACCTGTCCAAACTTGTGGATTTTCTCTGCTGCCCTCCGGTTTCCTGCCACTGCTGAACACCCCAACACACAAGTGAACTAATGAAATAAAATTAAACCATGTGTTAGTCCTGAAATGACCTAGTTTGTGTCGAGTGGACGTTAAATCCCCATTTCTCTCACTCTCCATCCTCATTAGTAGAACAATAGGACGTTAAAGGGACTATCCCGATTTGAACAGAGTCTCAAAAATAAGTCCGAGTATGTATGAAATTTAAGCACCCAAATATAGAGAAATGGCGTATTTACCTTGTCTCAAAATTTCACCTTAAAATATTGAGTCGTTTGGATGTGAAAGTCAAAAATGCTTATCCGGACACGTAACCCTTTTAAGATTTCGGGTCAATTTTTTCGTTGGGCGACCTGATAATCGATTTCCATTTCTTTAGAGGTCTATACAGTGAATGACCCATGTGCTGTACTTCATAGCGAAGGGTAAATTTCACCTACACATTATTTTTATAAATAAAAGTCCAGTTTTATCCAGACACCGTATAATACAGTTTGGACACGGGTCTCCATTTCCAGATGAAGACTGGCGGGTTTAAGTTGTTTGAAAACGTATGACAAATATTGAGTTAGTTGCTCGGCTCTTAGGTAGAGGATTTTAACACAAAATTAAACATTTTTATTCTCCAGAATATTATTGGGATTGGCCCTTTAAAACTCTTTTCTTTTCATTTACATTACATGTATTATCGTGTGTTAATGTTTATTAACAAAAAAAATCATTTAATATGTTTGCATCATGTCCGCTGAGTTGGTTTTTTGTTTTTTTAATTCACCCAATTGTAGGTCTACCATAGAATTGAGAATTTTGAAAGAATATTTTAAAGCGTCATTATTGAAGATTATATCAAGAGCTGACAGTTCTCGCTATAATAGTTAAAAAATATAATAGTTAAAAAATAGATTAGGTAAAGGAAATAATAATATGCTGAAAATTTCAGTCAAATTACTTCACTCTGAGCTGACACTTCCCCATTTTTTAATAACACTGTATCCTTGATTGTCATTCTTACCATTGTTACGATAATAAACAAAATCTTGATTATCCATTTTTATGGTTTATCATTAGGTCCCGTGTATACATTGGCGTGCACGTAAGAGATCCCATGGCAGTTGGTAGGCCATACTGCTGCTGCCCAGGCAAAATTTCCCTCCTAGCACACTGTATAGCATATGCCCATTAGCCCAGTTGGAGCAAATCAGTAGTACGTTACATAAACCCCATTTCATTTTGTATTATTCAGGGTTACACATCTTTCTGGAATGACTGTATATCTTCGGGTCTACGAGGCTGTATACTGATAGAACTGGCTCTACGAGGGAGAATAGAGTTAGAGAAAGCTGGTATGAGGAGAAGAAGTTTATTAAATCGTAAAGTTATTTGTAAAAGTGATACACCCACTGGTGATGTTTTGCTGGATGAAGCGCTTAGACACATAAAAGAGACACAACCCCCAGAAACAGTACAATGTTGGATTGAATATCTTAGTGGTAAGTTTCACACGTTAGTCGTAAAATGGGACTCATCATGTCTCGATGCAGAGGGTGTTGGCTGGGAAAATTACTCAGGATTTTGAAGCATTGTTTTCCCTTGTCGTTGGTGCAGGACAAAAGGTCTGGCAAGAAACAAGTGTCTAGTTGTTCGAAAGGAATGAAAAACTAAGGCACACCAATGTGTACGTGCGTTCATAGTTGGAAATTGAAGGGAAGGTAGAAATGCTAAATTTCCCTCATGTCACACTGCAGGGCATATAATGGTCTTCATTCTAGTTCAAATAGTGTATTTCATGCCTTGTAAATAAAATGTTCTACAGGTAAGGTAGGTACATCGGACGTACAGTTGAAGTACAGTTGATAGTGTGTACTTGTTTTAAATTTTTTCACTTTGACTTAAATATTCGGGGTAGGGGGTAGATGGCCGAATAGTTAGCGTGTGCATGTTGTATCATAAGGTCTCATTGAGTCAACTGGCATGGTTTCGAAATGAAATTGAACCATATGTTGGTCCCAAAATGACCAAGTTTGTGTCAAGTGGACATTAATCCCCACTCTCTCTCTCTCTCTCTCTTAATTAAATATTCAATGTTTAGTTCCCATATTTTCACAGTAAGATAACAACATGACTATTAATTGGAACAGATCAATAAGTCGTGTTTGTAATGTAAGGATAAATATTGAGTCAGAGTTTTACATCCGATAAATGTTAAATAATGAATCCCCGAAGTCTTCGATGTTGAAAACACAAATTATTTGTCAATTTAAATCAACATTGATGTTGTGATCTTACCGGGAAAAGATGGGTTTCTGATATCCAATATTTAAGACAAAATAAACATTTCTAATATTAATAAGGGACTCGAAGAACGAGGCTAGACATATTTCACAAGTCATGTCAAATGGTGACACCATATTCTTATCTGAAGAGCATGCACAATAAATTCTATCGGTGTAGACTGGAATAACCAGATGCTAGAGATTGTAATTCGATTGAGACTTTTGGCATATTTCGCCAAACATAACTGATTAATTAGAAATTACATTAAAAAAAGATTGAATGTAAATCAGTTTATATACATTCATATTACATTATTATATACGTTGCGACCCATTTGTGTCAATTTCTAGGTCCCAAATATTAGCAATTTAGCTCCCTTAAAAGCTGTGAACAATTAGTTATTATAAAGTTTGGTTTGTTGAAACACATGTGTAACTAGTATATTAAAAATGATACAAAAATAGATTTTGAACAAAATTGATACTTCTTGTATATTTTCCTGTAATCTGATATCAATTAGCCTACATTGTGTACATGTACATGTATGTAGTAGGAATGAGGATATATTAGAATTGTTACATGTAAGTGCTGTATTGTTATTATTCACACATGTAAGTATCAGACACCAGCTTATACATATGGAGATACATGTACATGCAACAAGCAGGCCTCACAAGAGGGGGATGCAGCCTGTGCACCGACCCAGGGCCCCATAAGAATGGGGGGGCCATGAATATCAAAGTTCAGAATTGAAATGGGCAATTACGCATAGATTTTTTATTGTTCCTTTGAAGCTTATATGATAGTAAGTGTAAGTACATGTATGTACAAAAGTTTTTGCTTTATCGCAATCTGCTAGTGAATCATCTAGATGTGACACGTAAAAGAACCCTTGACAGTTGGAATTCGATCTAAGAGTAAGTCGTAGTCCTGCTGTCAGGGCAAAATTTCCTTCATAGCGCAAATCATGGCATACATGTACATGTATGCCTGTCTTCATTAGCCCAGTCGTAGCAGAACAGTAGGACGTTAATTCGTTAATAGATAACATGAAAGTAATACATATATATGATTATTTAATAGATACATGTATATTTTTATATACCCATATTTAAATGTCGTCATGTACTGTTATCACATACCTGTATTCGCTGTAATTTATACTCACATTGTTTCTGTTGATGATTAAAAGGTTCAAGTTTATTGATTTTCAACCGTTTCCGCTCCAGTATTTATTGTATGACATGCTGTGTAAATATTAGCACTGGCATTAACTACAAACCAATCATAATTTAATTTTAGTTGATAATTATTTAAGGGGGGTTAGATGGCTGTATGGTTAACGCGTGTGCATGGTTTCAATTCCCCAGTTGTACATGACAAGCGTAGGGTCGTCTGTCCAACCTCGTAGGTTTTCTCGGGGTACTCTGGTTTCCGCAAACTGTTAACAACCTCTACACCCCTAGGCGCAAGCAAGTTACTGAAATAAAATTGAACCATATGTTAGTCCTGAAATGGCCTAGTTTGTGTCGAGTGGACGTTAACCCCCATCTCTCTCTCTCTCTCTCTCTCTGTCTCTCTCTGTATGTCCAGGTGTGCCTATAAGTGCTCCAAGTATCTACAAAAGAATAAATAAACAACTTACATGTATGTATACTGCTCGTATGACCCAGCTGCGCTGCTGGCACATTTTTTTTTGCCTGGCAAACTATCTTTCTATTGAACAAATTGAACTACATAATGGTATGAATGGTTGACAGATGAAAATGAGTGTATGATGAGTAACAATTGATAAGAGATCTATGATACGGTGTAATGATTTATAATGTAGCCTGGGGTATACAAGTAGACCATAACATTGGTACATGTATGTAATGGTTGGTTGTTCTGTTCAGATAACACACAGTTATTTTAACTTGTCTTATAAAATTATATAACTTACCCATAGGCAACACTTACATATCTTTTAAAAACAAATAATACATTTAGTGGTCATACACCATTAGTGGTCAGATCTTGTTTAGATACAGATTTCATTGTAATGAGTAGTCAAATATTTCATTTAAAGTCAACATTTGAATGCTCTTTAAATATTTGATTATGTTGCAGTTTAAGATTTCTGGAAACTACTTGTCTTTCAAATCAATATATATTCTTTTAACTGTGGGGTGGGGGGGGGGGGGGCTGTCGGCTCCTTCAATGAGTTGGAGAGTTGGGTGGCTAGATGGTTAATGCGTTTGATTATCATACATGTACATTGTAAGGTCTGTCATTAAAATCAAGGGGTGTGTTTTCAATTCCCTGATTGTACATGACAAGGAGTAGGGTCAGCTGTCCAACCTCATGGGTTTTCTCCGGGTCTACTACTAAAAACCCCTACGTGCTACAAATTATTGAAATAACAGCGGGCGTGAAGTCAGAGGAGAATTCATTGTATACACAAGACGATGTTGTCTTTAATCGCTGACTATTTATTACAAATATCGCATCCTAATTAAATTCTTAGATTATCCACTGCCCGCTTCTTTTTCCGTGAATTTTATCTCAGGAAGTGTTGTACGTCTAACTCTTCACCAAATTTATCAACATGTACACCAAGCGCTCAATCTTCGCGTACAACCTCCAACGTCACGCGTGCAGGTATTCCTAATCGTCGGACTGTCGATTAGGGGACCCCTCACATTTTTGTCCTGTATACGCTCCATGAATGTTTTTCAGGGAATCCAGTATTTTTCTAGTAAGATTGGATATCTCTACTTTCCATATATACCAAAATTGCCATACTTCTATTGGAAATAACCACCCGATAAATACTTTTCTGGGAACCTTTCCTTAAAAAAGCGAATAATTGTGGTTTATATTTGTATTTCTTTAGATATGTCTATTGTGCAATATTTAATAAACTTGTCTGTTAAATATTAAAGATTTATAACTTGACAATGGATGTAGTGTTAATAAGAAAATAGCCAAACGTTTTTAAACTTTTTAACTTATGAGTTTAGAATGGAAGATACATGTAGAATGAATGAAAAGATAACATAATAATACATGTATATATTATATAAACTGTGGATATATATATATATATATAAATTATAACTTATAAATATAACATGCATGTACTGTATATGTAAACTGTGCATATATATCACGCGTGCTCTGTATCTTACATATTCTTACAGTATGTCATTGAGTCAACTGGCAGGGTTTCGATTTCCTGGTTGTACGTGACAAGGAGTAGGGTCGCCTGTCCAGTTACCTCCCAATGATAAAGACCCCTACACACTTAAGCGAATTATTGAAAAAAAATTAAACTATATGTTAGTCCCAAAATGACCTAGTTTGTGTTGAGTGGACTTTAAACCACATTTCTCTCTCTCTCTTGTGCATATGTAAATTATAGAATATATAACATACAATGCATTGTAAATAGTGCTCCTATGGTTAGGACTTTTTGTTATTCGAATAGCCGTAGCTATTAACCGGTTAGTAACCGTTAACCGTATGGTATCAATTTTAAACATAAAACAGAGCTTGTCAGGAGGTGCGAGTCATTACTCGTGCGCACGTTATACTCGCCTGAAAGGCATTACACGCGCAAAAATTTCAGGAATTCTTTAATGAAAATTTAAACTATCTAAGGCCGTAGTTATTTATTTACCTGGTTAACTTGGTTCATTTGAAACATTTTTTAATTCAATATATATCTACGATAATATACAAAACAATACTCTGTTTCCCTTCGTAAGTGACAGATGGCGATAATATTACGATCACACAATGTTACTAAGAATAGAATAAAGTAAATTGGAAGGCGTCTATTGATTGGACAATAAAGAATTAATTCCTCGCATGCAAGTAGAATTTTTATGATTGGTTAATTTAACTATAAACCAAAGTAGAATTCTTGCGAGAAATTACGTGATATGAAACGTGTTGAATGTCATAACAAATCTAGTATAATGTCATTTTCTATCCTTTGATTATATTTTGAATGGTGGTTACGTTTTTAAGTAAATAATAAACAAGGTAGAATATAGTTAGAAATGCCGAGAATTATTTAGATTGGATTAACATTAGCTAAAGTCAGAACATGGTCCGTTGACTTTGCCGTATGACTACGACGAGTGCTATTAATAGTATCATTGCTTAGCAGTCGACATTGGAGGACGACTGTTACATTCTAAGATTTTCAAACACCAAATACAAAATGACA